GTTATCTTATCCATTGGCAGTCAGGGTGCTGGACACAAGACTTCTTGTGTGTCTCAATGGGAATACCTGCTATACCAATCCTGAAGCATTGGGGCTTGAAAAATAAGACTTCCATGGTGCTGCCTCAGAGCATGAGTGAAACAACAACATTGAGAAGTTAAAGGTTAAACAGCCTAAGGTAATTGCCACATCTGAAATGGTGATGTCTGGCTTCTGTGTATGAATGAAAGACACTCTATGTGTTCAACAGAGAAACCAAAGATCAGGGTATGTATGCAGTCTTGGGAGCTGTGGGTCAGTGGAGTTCATTTTCTTCTTCAGAGTTTTCTTAGTAAAAGGTGAGCAAGGTGGTGGGTTGTGTAGGAATCCTAATTTTAAGTGTGGATCCTAATTATCCCCCTTGCACTTGTAGGTCTAGGAGTTAATACTTCTGAGGTATTGAGCTGGGTTCAGCAGTTGTCCTTCATGATCATGGAGGGAAACCTCATGAGGAGGGTGGGGACTGAAAGAAGTATGGTCTGCTTCCCAGCACTGGGATCTGGGTTCACCTGAGATGCCCCGGATGGATGGAGGGATTCCCTTAATATTCCAAAAGAGGGGAGAATGACTTCCCTGCTGCCTGCTGACCAACTGAAGGGTCTGAGTCAGCAATGTACCCTTCCCCTGGGATGTGTGTAGAGCAGAGGGCTGGCATTGGTGTTTATTCAGTCAGCATCAGTGCTTATCTAGGAAAACAAGCAGTAAGGTGGCTGAAGACTTTCAGACCAGAGCTGTGATACATTTCCTACAGATAGAAAGCTAGTGGGGAAAAAAGAGCTGCAATTTCCTTCTGGATGTATGTAGCCAGTTAGGTGTTTTTAACATGAAGGGTTTCTGGCTTTAGAAGTGCCAGGGGAGATGTGAGAAAATACCTGGTTTTCATGTGAATTTCCAAAGCTGATCTGTCAAGGGCAGTTCACTTAAACAAAACTCAGATGTATTAGAGCAGCTGTAGTGCTTATGTGTATTATTAAAATGACTCAAGACTATGGAACAACTTTGTAGAGTCAGCAGTGCATTTATTAGGGCCTGCAAATGGTGTGAGGCTCCATGGAAATACTAACAATTGGAAAAGCAACCTGCAGAGATCCTCCAACGTGTGGAATAAATTTTCGGGGAGTTTTAGCAAGTTGAGACTGTGCTGTACACAGGTGAAAGATGTGTAAGCATCGACACTGTTGTAACTGTGCTTCATCAGGTCAGGACAAAATTTGTCCCTAAAAGAAGTTTTTCTGCAGTTAATGCTGTTTGCTTTTATTGTGATAGTAGATGTATGACTGTCATCCCACATGAATAAATGGGCAGTATTACTTTGAAGGAGGGAAGCTGGAAAAGAGAGAGGTCCTAGCTCACAGCTGGGTTTGGCTCTGGTCTGGTGCCATGTCTAAGGGGCAGATGTTCGTAGAATGGTTTGGGTTGGAAGAGATCAATGCCTGTGTCTCCAAGAGCCTAGCGAGTATGAAAACAGGAGTGCTCTATTTTAGCTGGGCACAAGGAGGAGGCCTAGAAGTTAAATGCTGCTTTCATTCTATCCAATTGCAGGGCTTTGATGTGTACATCTTTTTGTTTTCATGTTTTGCTGTATATTCTGTATAAATGTTGTGGTTTTTTCTCTCCTTTAGAATGAGCTATGGAACATTGCATTGCTCTTGATTTATTCACACTAGCCTTTGTTTCCTTGTTTTCTTTCCTCCCCTTTTCCCCTAGATCTACCAGGTTCAGAAGGTAGGGCTTGCTCTCTTTCATTCTTGTTTGCATGTGTTCCCACGTCACGAGTCTTGCCAGCATTTCTAATAAGCCTCTGAGGAATGGAAGGTGCATAGCAGGCTTTATATTCCCATGCATTTTCCCCTTCCCTCCCATAGTCTTGTGGGGTGCACAATAAAGATGACCCATGTAAAATGTGTCTGGTCAGGCACTTAATGTTTTGTAAACACTGTTTGACAAAGAATAAGCAATAAGCAGGAAGGTAATTTGGCAAACAGCCACTGTAGGAGGGTGAGGTGGCTCTGTGTGTCACCAAGCACTGTACACACATTTGTGTGTTGAAGGCCAAGAATATCACTGAGAAACACTTGGGGCTGGAGAAACATTTAACATGTGCCACCAGAAAAATGACTTTGAGGTGACTTTGTTTGCAGCGAGTCATTGAAGTAAATCAGGGATGCTGTGTTTGAATTTATAATCTTTTGGTAAATAAACTGTGTGGCTTTTCATCCAGCGTGGCGCAAGCTTATAAATGCTTTTATATTGTTTAATCCCCTCCCACCTCAGTCATGATCTCTTCCCTCCTCCCGGTTTCAGTTTAGTAGTTCCAGATGATGGTGGTGGTGTTAATAGCTCACTTTGAGGTCACTTGCTATGTAACAAGGGAGAGTTTAGGATTTGTGTTACGATGTTTGGCTGTTCCATACTTCCAGCATATGAACTGTGTAGTACCTTAGAGAGAAATGGCCCAAAAGAGTTTTTGCAGTGAGGGAGAATGCACATCTCTCTTCAAGCCTGCCATTTCCTGCCTTACTGAATATTGCTTCTGGTTTTGTTTTTTCTGAGGTATTTTTATTGCTTGCTGAATGATTAGTGTCTCTTTAAATCACAGCCTTTTTGTCTTTTGTCCTGGCACTCCTGCTGCCTTAAGTGCATGTTTCATTCGCTTGACTGAGCAGTGCACGTGCTGCTTGGAAATGCTGTTCTCCTCTCAAGTGCATATGTATATGATGATAGCTACTCAAATCATGTGCTGTGGTATTTAATCCTGACCCCATCAGTTTTGCCACAAATACATCTTACTGTTGTTTTCATTTGCGGAGTTGGTATGTACTAAGTAATTCAAATCAACATCTACCTGTGGACCAACAGGCTCGTTATCAATCTCCTTTATAGGAACTAATTTAACCTTCTGGTACAAACGCAGCCCCATGGGAGCCCAGGAGGGTGTTTACTGTTGGTATCCTGACATGGAGAAGTGGGTTAGCCTCACACCATCCCCTAGTCAGTTTGCAAGTCTAGCAGTTTTGCTGTCGCATAGTGAGTAAATCTGATATGGAATTCTCTCTCAGTGGTATTAATGTAATGAATTATTCAATTGTAATATCAGTTTTCAGGATGGAAGGGAACTTGAGTCTGGGAGAGGTCTCTAAAAAGCAAATGAATGGATAAGCACCATTTCTGCCTTTAACCCATGCAGTCATTCAGACCAGCCCCCTTGGGGCAGAAGAGTCCACATGGAGAAAGAAACGGGAAGTGGCTGAGGAGACAAAATATCTGAGACTTCAAATGCTGCCAGTTCAGTGCAGGGTGAGACATGCTGTTTGAAAGATCATAAATTAAAATAAATAGTCTCAAGGTAATCACATTCATTCACATTTTTCATGTGGGGATGGTGAGCATGTAGCAATGTAATTTTAAATGGTAGAGGAAAAGACTTAAGTGGAACTTTTAACATAACAAGTCTTAAGGGCTATTTCCTTATCTGCCTTTTGCAAAACTGAATTCAGAAGCTTCTGTGAGAAAGTAAGGAGACAGCAGATCAAAGAAGCAGCACCTTACAAAAATTATTAGCGTGTTTATGGATCCTTCCTGTGTGGATTCTCGGTTACCACGGTGGTTTCTAAAGCTGATTTCTAGTGTTATAAAATATTATATATCTCTTGGGGAATCTGGAAAACCTCTATTAAGGCTTTACCTGACCTGATTTACTACAAAGCATATTATCTGTAGGTTTAGATCACGTACACAATCCTGACTATGTGAAGTACATAAAACTTAATGCGACAGGCTGTTTGTTGTACATGTCATGCTTCTGCCTGGCATTAACTCGTCTAAGCACTTGTGAGGAGGTTTGTAATGCTGGACGAAACAGTAGTTCATGTCATGCCCCCTTAATTTCGTGTAGTTTAAGGGAGAAATTTCACTTGTGTGTAATTTGGCTAGGCATTGTGTAGGGGTATTAGATGTATTTGGGTACACAGCAAGATGCTTTGCAGGTAAAAGCAAAAGGGAATACTCCCCTGTTCTCATGAGGATGTGGTTAAAGAGCTTTTTGAACCGTTGTCTCCAGAGACATTTCTGCATACTATGTAAATCTGCAAGGCAGTTAATTTATTTTCTTTTCAAATTGCAGTCCTAAAATCTGACTTTCTAATATTTTTCCTAATAAATGGGATTGCTGTGAGCTCTTGCTTTTTCCTAGTTTGACCCCAAAACTGGCAGCATTTGAAGGTCCTTGTACAGTTTGGACTCTCCAGGGTGTGTAATGGAGCACCCCACTGCCTATTCTACTTCATAACAGAATTTCTTCTCTGCAGAGCTGTTAAGATGAAAATGAAGATGACCTTAATATGACAATAGTTTTATTGTTTAATGAGGAAGAACTCTGAAGTGGGAATGAACTGATACAATAGCAAAGAACACACAGCTGTTTGGTCTAGTTTATTAACAAACAGCGACTGAGGTTTTTAAAAGTGAAAGAAAAATTACATTAATACCATTGAGTGAGTGTTAAATGCAGAGTGTAATACAGAATAGGTTTCTGGTTTTTTTATCATTACCCAGGGTTTTGACTGTTAATGCTCCTGCCTGCTCAAGTCTCTAGGAAAGCTGGCAAGTACAGGCTCAATTTTTCCACACATACATGAACCTCAAAGCAGTAATCTGATTTTCTTTTAAAATATATATTGTGCTTCCTTAAGCAGGATTTCTGTTTGCTGATTACTGTGCTTAAGGCTGATGAGTTTTCCTCGCACAGGAATGTCATGGTCACCATTATAAATGCAAACTTCCTGAGGCTGGATTTGAAGCTTCTGTTTGAGGAGGAAGAGAAGTCATGTTAAACCTGTAGATCTTTGAACAATTTGCTATCTGGTGGAAATTCCAGTTGATTTGGGAAATTCCCAGTGTTGTGCAGAGATTACGAACTGGGAAACTTACACTGCTTTAATGATAGTCTCCTAAAAAATGCATGGTGTTTGTTACTGAAATACAGAGAGCTTTCCCATCTCGCCTGCATTGGTGAGGCATGTCCTCTTCTATCCTTGTTGGTGACACCACTGCTGTTAAGATGGCTCCAGTGTAGGCAAGAAGCCTTGTGCTCTGAACAGGAGCTCTCAGGAGCTTGGCATGCAGCAAATAAGAATGCACAGAGATGAGTTGCATTGTATTCAACTTGTCTTCCCTTGACAAATCTGTATGGGAAACGTGATTTGACAGCATTTTTCACCTCAAAAGTGTTCTGTGTTCGGATCCCTTGTAATGAGTCTTGACTTAAATGGGTCAGGAATTCAAGACTCATTACGCTCCTTGCTCTTGACCCCACAGCACTGTTGTTTTTTCACTGCTGAGAAGGAAGCTCTTGCATACCCTGGCTGTACCTGAAACATGGCTTTCTCCTTGATGGACAACTCTTCCTGGGCATGTGCTTCTGAGGGCTCTTGTGGCACTTGGATCAGCTTTTCCCTGGCATGTTTGCGTGTGTGGAACTGTGTGGCTAAGCCAAAACCTGGCAATGCATGTCTAAATGTTCTGTGTTTGCCTTTCTCATCTAAATTCTGGGGTTTTCTTGTCCTTTTCTGTCTCTAGAAATATTATGGTCTGGATACTAAATGGGGAGACATCGAACAATGGATGGTAGGCCTTAATGTAGCTAACCAGCTTCTATGTGTTGAAGTTTTCAATAGTTCATAGTGTTTGAAATCCTGCAAAGTAGGTGTTTTCATGTATTAGAAATGTGAATTCCACTCTAACCACAACCATTCCTGCTGTCTGCATCAATACCTGGAATACGGCTTTTGATCAGCTTAAAACTGGCAAGGGTTTGGTTAGAGACCTCTCTTTTTACAGACCTCTGTCCCCACTGTCTCACTTGAAGATTAGATTATCATATAGAACCATTAAAGCCACTTGTGTTACAAGGAATGTATGTTCTCATCTTACTTCTTGTGGGTTTTGTTACAATTTGAGTCTTATCCAGTCTGCCTTCAGGTAAATTTTCAGCATTTTTTTATCCATGCTGCTTTAGTGACTTTGTACTTAACTGGTCCAGGGGTACTCTTCACATGCATTGTTACTGCTGCTACGGCAATGCTCACTTTTTCCAGTAATACAATGCCCTAGGTATTACTATTTGCTAAGCCAGTTAAGTTGATACCAGATACGGACTTGGCCATTAGCAACATCTGACTGTGTTAACACCCATAATGTAAGATGAAGAAGTTGCTAAAGTGCTGGAAGACGCTGGCTTCAACTGTCTTGGAAAGAGTCTATTTCAAAGGCCGTGGTGCTGTGTGTGACAGAGGCATAATAACAAAATTACTATAAGTATACTGATTCCCAGAGGTAGAGAGATGCACTTGAGATTTTTTTTGGATGGAAATAAAGGTGTCAATGTGTGCAGTTTTTCATAGAAGTGTGTAGCAGAATAAAACGGGAATTAAGCTGGGATCGTGCAGGAAGGGAAACGGGTTTTTTCTGACCTGACAAGTTATCACCTTCTGTTATTTGGTAACCTTACTGACCTTACTGACTCCTAAACACTGCTGAAGTTCACTGTGTCTTTCTGAAAGCTCTCTGTTGGTGTATCTGTCCTTTCAACACTTCACTCTGTTTTTTTTTTTCCTCTGCCACCTTGGTAGGAAGACAGTGAGCGTTATTCCCGTAGAGCCAGAAGAAATGCCTCGGTTAGTATCTACTTTTGCCTTTTCTTAGCTAGACATTTCAAACTAAGAAAACAGACATGGATAAGGCAGTTCCTTTTTAAAAGGAAAAAAACAAACAACCAAAACTGACCAAAAATAAGCTCCCACCACCCAGGCAATGGAAAAACCCCAAAGCCACTTCCTGAGTTCTCTGCCTTCTCTCCAGTCACTCTGAGGAGCTTTTGAAAATGTGCGAAAATAAAGGGGGGCAGGGGATGGAAGGTGGGGAAATAACCTGCTCGGGGTGTTTAATATTCATATATTCAGACTGTGAGCAGAGAACACCTCAGCAAGGTTGTCATTCGTCCAATAGTAAAATGCTTGACTATATTCCTTGGGCAGGGTACGATTTCATTTACTTTCTGCTTATAGGTTTAATGAGATTCTTTTTAAAAAGGCATTTATTTTGTATGTCTTCTCTTTCCCTCTGTCTTATCAAAGCCATCAGCATTTACCACCCTGCCTGTTACTTGTGTTTTTTTCATTGTTTTCTTGTCTTTATACTTTTCTTTTGATAGGCTTCGGATGAAGATGAGCACATGTCAGTGGGTAGCCGTGGAAGCCTGAGGGTTGGTAAATTGTACAATTTAAGTGTGCATGTGTGTGTATTAATGTCGCTGTCCTGTCCCTCCCCCCCCCCTCGAGTGGTTATAGTACTCTGATACCATCTTTGCAAAGTCTTGACATGTTCCATGTTCAAACCATATGCTTTGTTGGGCTTTTTCCGAGTACATGTACGTCAGTAATTCTTTCAATCAGGGGAATGGTCAGATTAGCACGCACAGAGCAGGAACACCAACAGAGCATGTGACTGGAGATCTGGTAACTGCTGTTTGCTCTTACTGTTGCAGGAAGTACTTCACCAAAACATGGGTATATGCAGCTATTTCATGTATGCACCTTGTGAGTTCCGCTGTTTCATAACCCATACTGAGAATTCGGGAAGAGGAAGTGCTAGCTTACTCCATAATCAGTGTTTATGAGCTCTCATCTATCTGTAGGACAAATTCAAGTATTTTATTGTTTTTTTTTCCTCAAAATATCCATATGGTATTTTTTTAGATATAGTACACATGGGCACAAATCTTAACCCTATTCTAGCGTAGACATAATCAGCTCTTGGAATTGTGAAGACAATCTAATCAATTTAGTGGTTGTGAGCTTCTAGTGCTATTGTCTCTGTGTGTGTCAGTAGTCTTCAAAGATGATCAGAGCTCGCTGCTTCGGAGACTTGTGGAGAAACACTCAACTAAGCACAGAACTGAAACAGTCCGTAACAGTGCTAGGGAGGAAGCTCTCAGCAGTCCTGAATGTGAATCAGCTGTAGCCAGTTCTTGTTTCGGAGTCATTGTGCCTAAGACTGTTGTGTTTGAGAATAATTTTTCTTCTCCTTCTGCCGTTGTTCCTCATGTATCAGTAGCACCAGTTATGTGGGGTAACCTGGATGATTAGTTCTAATTTTCTAGGACAAGCAAGACCTATGTCATTATTTGTAATCTTTGGTTTCTGGCTTCTGTGGAGATTCCTGGCCAGGTATCCCCAGGAGAACAGGACTGGGTGTCAGACCTCATGTGCCTTTGAGAGAGCCTGGAAGATGAAAAAAAAAAAGCAAAAAGTGACTACTGCAAAGCATGTTCAGTGAACCCAGGAGTGACTTTGTGTTCTCTGTGAGGTACCACAAAGATACACTTTAAAGTGTTGCCTCGTTGCCTTTTTCCCTTATTGCTATTTATGAAATGGTGTTAAAATCTTTATTCTTTCAGACCACAAGCTGGTTTGTGTGCTTGTTTGTTTCAAAGCTAGAAGGTGCCTTAAAGATCCAGAGATTTGATGAAGAAAAGCTCATCCTCACAGCTGAACATGCAAACCAATGTTTATTTTACTTACAGTTAAATTTGGACATGTTCATGAACGTCTTTGGAGGGGAAAAAAAAATCTCTAGATTAGTTGAAATTTCAGTTCTTTCTATTTAGAAGGTGATTTTGATACAACTGGGTTGTTTAACCGTAGCTATAACTATGTGTCTCTTGATGGAGCAAGATGCAAGCACGCTGGCACCATATTTACAGTGGGAGCCCAGTTCATCTGTGAAGGGGAGATTGAGATGAGCTCTTAGGCAGAAGCTCTTCCCTGTGAGGGTGCTGAGGCGCTGGCACAGGGTGCCCAGAGAAGCTGTGGCTGCCCCATCCCTGGCAGTGTTCAAGGCCAGGTTGGACACAGGGGCTTGGAGCAACCTGCTCTAGTGGAAGGTGTCCCTGCCCGTGCCAGGGATTTGAACTGGATGAGCTTTAAGGTCCCTTCAATACAAACCGTTCTATGATGATGATTCTGTGGAACAGCTTTAGTTCATGGAAATCCATGGAAATCCTCATGATGGTTTCTGTACCATGATCCTGTGTTCTATTGTTACATACTTGAACAGCAGAAACCTTGCATTCTGCCTCCCCACCATCCCTCAAGAAGCTTTTCTGAGCTCTTTTCCTGTAGCTGCCTCGTGCCTTCTGGCTGTGATACCACCGCTGGTCTGGTAAGCAGCAGCTCCAGCTGCCTCACGGGATGGCCCATAAATCCCTAATACTTCTGCAAAGAATGTCCTTTTCTGACAGAAGGATCTGGTTGGAACTTCCTGCAGTGGTATTTGTAATGATGTTGCACAGACTCCCCCCGTCATCGTAAAGTAGCATTTAGTGAACGTTCTTGCGCAAGCTGACACTTGGGCCTGCGCAGGAAAAGAGTTTTGACAGAGCTTTCTTCCTTTTGGTCCAAGTGTCACTGGAATTTTAGAAAGTAAACATTTGCTAGTCTGAACTGAAAAGCACCCTTACACAGCTCTTAATTGTTTTATTCACATTGAATTGATAGAACGTACAGAGACTTTTCCTGGTGTGGGTTTATAGTAGATGCTTTTAATGCTTTGATCACATCTGTCTCTTTGTGGAGGTTTGGCTCTTGCTGTCTTTGTATGTTTGCAAAACAACAAAATTAAAAACAGTTACAAAAAAATGACCAATCTAAAAAATTACCTCTGAGGAGCAGAGTTCAGTCTGGCTTCTGAGCACCAAAAACTATTGCCTTGTGTCCACAAAGGATTTGTAAAACTAGTTAGAGAATTCTGAATGCTCTTCTTTTTTTTTTTTTTTTTTGGCTATTGGAAGGCTTCCATAGTTACAGAATGCCTTTGCAAATGATCTGCAAGGCTTCCAGTACCTGAAAACTGATCTTGCATCTTTGGGCTCTTTGTACTGTGAGTGGCTGATGCTGCGAGGGGTTGCTTTTTGCAGCTATGCTTCTTTTCTGTGCAGGAAGTTTTCAATGAAATGAGCCATATCAGAGATGTATTTCTACCTACCAGTCTGTGTGGGTTTTACTCTGTATTTTCTTCTGGAATGTTTTCTAAGTGGATGTCTCAACTGCAGGCACCACAGATCTGCTGAGCTAGCTTTTTGGGAGCTGGCCTGGATGCTTCTGGCAGAGCAGCCATCAATATGGACTGCAAAACTACCCCAGATGTTGATTAGACCAGGCTAGCAAATATATTTAAGTTCCACAGCCGTGCCTGTGCTGCAGACAGTGTCCTAGTGCGTTCATATAGCACTAGCTTGAGCATATCTCTGCCTCCTGCCAGCCGATCTTCCTCTGTGACAGGGAATCTGTAATAGCTTTCCCATGGGTCATCCTGAACCCATGGAGAGTGTCCTGCCTTTCGTTCAAGAAGTTCTGCAAGCTTGATTCTTTATCACACAGTTGTTCCTAGGAAAGCTCAGTTAACATCATCCTCTGTGTGTATGAGACACTCAAGCCCCTCTTCAGTCTCTCTTCTATGCCAGATGTCCTTGTTCTCCCACTTCCAAGCTGGCTGCCTCTAATCTGAGACTATCCAGCATGAAATATTGGTGTGTTATTAATCACTCATGGTGGAGTTTGTGCATTTCCATGTTTGGTTTGCTCCAGAGTTTCTGACTTTTGGCTTTCTACAAGAAATTCTGCATTACCTAAGTTCTTAGTTGGGATATACATCTCTGTGCCTGTTTTCTGGGGGAGGTTCTTTTGATTGCCATGACTTGTTCAGTGTTTTCCTTTGTATTCCAAATTTTTTTCTTTCCTCTCATACCTTTACAGTCTCACTTGGAACATGCCAACATCTATCCAGTGGTGAGAACAGTCTGCAAGTTGCAGTGTGTGTTAAAAACTAATCCTGAATAAGAAACTAACATCAGTTGTGGTTGATCTAAGATAAGGGGTGATCTAAAATAATCCTGAGGTAGTTTGTGATCTGTGATGTAAAGATGCTACTTCGCTCTCCTGCTGCTCTGATGCAGTTCACATGAAAAGCACTGGAGGATTAGAGAGATCTAAGCTAGGTCTAGTAGTTCAGTAGTTGCAATAGGACAGAGCAGAATAGCTTTTATTTTCCCTAGCAGACTTTCTCTGTAACAGTCTGTTCATTGCTTGGCCAGGTCTAGAAGTCACAGACTGGTTTAGGTTGGAAGGGGCCCGAAAGCTCATTCAGTTCCCACCCCCATGGGCACTGGACAACCTTCACTAGATCAGGTTGCTCCAAGCCCTGTCCAGCCTGGCTTTGAACATAGTCTGTCTGGTTTTATTTCAGCATAAATCAGGAAAGGAATAAAACTTTCACAGGCTCACTCTGAATAGATCTAGCAAAGGTGACTGGACAGATAGGCTGCCTAGCAGAGCTGCAGCTTGTGTGTTGAGCTGTTACCTTGGATTTAGAGGATAAAAATCAAACTCCATAGGTAAGACAAGAGCAGGTATTTGTATTGAACACGCTCAGATAAAACTGACTCTTGGAAGAACAGAAAGGGCATGGAAGGGGGAATGATGATTGGGACTTTTTAAGCTCAGTTTAAGAACATTTCCTTGTACTGTTAGCAGTGCTGTCTTGTGCCAGCACTGTGTTGAGATAGAGGCACCTCCGCTTCTGCAGAAAGCAGGCTGCACAGAGAAGTGTTACCAACTCTCTAGCTTTCTCACCCTCCTCCGTTCCCTGTGCTATTTCAATTACAGAATGCAGTGTATCTATTTGTGAGTGACCTATATACAAAAATAGTTCGAACACATTGGGACTTTGCATGGATGTATAGATGTAGTTGGTAGACAGCTGGTAGTTCTTTTAATTGACTTAACCTAGCAAGCATGAATGATTTTAACTGTGGCTACTAAATTTGAACAGTTCTATTGTCACTTTTAACAACATTCTTTAATAACCGGTCGTTTGACTTTGAGGTTTGATTTTCCCCCCCCATATGTGCTTACTGATCTGTGTTGTGTAGAGCTGGAGCAAAAATGGACTGATGTTTTTGCATGGTAACGTGCATGTATGGCTATGGATGGGTGCACATAAACTCATAAATGCTTTTCATCCTGCATTCTTAATCTCACTGCAGGCTGGATTAGAGAATGAGAGGACCAAAAAGAAGAACTACTCCAAAGCAGTATGTATCTCAAATAATTGTCTTGGAGAGGTTTTTGCATAGAAAACCACTGTGATAAGACAGAGAATATGTGCAAGCGTGTTGGCTGTAAGAGTTCACCAGCCTAATGTCAAGGATACAGTGTAATTATCAGAACTTGCTGGATCTGTGAGAATACATCACCTATCTGCAAAATGTGTTATAATGCAAACATGTCAGTGTCATACAGTAAGAACATCTTGAAAAGTTCAAAACCTAACTTAACATGACACAGAAATAAATAATACTGGTAGAACATATGTAGTGAAGGCTGCAATCTTTTCATAAAGGTAGTTCATAAAGGCAATTTTTACAAGTACATGTAGGGACAGGAGAAGGAGGAATGGCCTTAACCTGCCAGAGGGGAGATTGAGATGAGCTCTTAGGCAGAAATTCTTCCCTGTGAGGGTGCTGAGGCGGTGGCACAGGGCGCCCAGAGAAGCTGTGGCTGCCCCATCCCTGGCAGTGTTCAAGGCCAGGTTGGACACAGGGGCTTGAAGCAACCTGCTCTAGTGGAAGGTGTCCCTGCCCGTGGCAGGGGTTGGAACTGGATAAGCTTTAAGGTCCCTTCCAACCCAAACCAGTTTGGGATACCAGTTTGGGATTCTACATAGTATTGATGTACAAATAGGGCACTACTTAGAGGTCTGCAAAGCCAGGCCTGGGTGGAAGATAATGCATAATGTGCTTTCACGTAGTCAAGGTTTTAGGTGAATCCCACAGGGAGTAATTCCCTGGAGGGAAGAAGTAAGTACATGAGAGAGGGCAAAGTGGTGTACTACTGCAAGAGGAAAAAACATAAAAGAATAGGGTCAGTTGCATGTGAAGGGAGAGCAAGTAAAATCTGAGTATTTTAGCCTCCCTAGTATACAATTGTATTTGTTGTACTTTTCATTGAGGTTATGGTTGGGTGCTCAGCATGTTAGTGTAGCACAGGACAAAGGTCAGTGAGGTCTGGTAAAATTGACCCTGCTTTTCAAGAGTTGCCTGGAGTATTCACCTTCAAAAATATGTGCTGGAGAGGTTTCTGGAGAGGATGGGTGATAGTGACAGGGAAAATGACCTGAGCTATGGGCTTCAGCTTGAAATCTGAATGATACAGGGCAAATTAAACAAACACTCTAGAAGGGCCTGATATACAAAGTGGTAAACCGTTTGTGGAAAATGAATCATGTTAATTCAACTTAATTTCCCTAAGCAGATTAATTAAGGGCATAAAGGGAAAGCACTGGATGTGACTGTAACTTGACTGTAAGGCTCTTGGTGTGTCTGTACATGACATCAAATGAAACCTGGGGCAAGATCTAGTTATTGTAGCAGAGATGCACAGCTAGTTGAAAAATAACTCTGGTAGAAAACAAGACAGTTGGAAAGGATCTCATCTGGTCTGCTCCCATCTAAGTCAGCATCATCTGTTTTAATGGGGAAAGCAGTTCTACAGGAGTGTGTATTGCCTAGCTGTGTGAGTACAGGGCGCTAGGGCAATTTTATACAAGGTTGGAATAAAAGTACTGCTGATGAAGAGGAGCTTCAGTTGCCCATTCTTCAGCAAGAAGAGTGTTAGGAGAATTTCGGAAGCCTGAAAAATAGTAAAAACGGGGCTGAAGCCAAACTGTGAGGAGGCTGCAGCAGGATTTCAGATAGCTTCTTCTTGAGAAAAGAAACTGGGTGCTCATGTTCTATTTATAGTGATAGTATTGCAGTTAGTAGTAGAGAGTCTGGGCTGTTCCCAGAATTTGCTTTACCAGCTTGGGTTTAAACTGGTTTCTAATGTAATTTGTTTATTTTTTCATGGAAAAATTAAACAAATTGCACTGAGTAGTATGTGATAAATAATTAGCTTGGAAATGGACTCGGACTGGGTTTAGTGGATTTTCATTTTAGGAATGCATTAAACCTTGGATTTAAAAAATTAATTTCAATAGAAATTCTAATTAAATTTCCACTAAACCATCACCCCAAATACTACAAGGTGCTTCCTCATTCTTGATACTAAACCAGACCTTGTTGTGAAAGTGATGTCAGAATAGTGACTTGCTTGAGAAACCTGAGCTTCTAATGGTTTTGACTGAGGTGACTTTTGGCTTTATCCTCTTTTCTTAAATATCAATTTTCCAGACTAAAAACTTCATCATAGAGCTTGTTTTGTTTTATTCCTGACCCAGCCTCACCTGGCTTCTGAAAGGCTTGTTCTCGCTTTTAGCTCTTTGAGAGAAAACATCTTAATAACAACAGGGCAGGCTATTGAGCATGAGAGAGGACAGCTGGACTGACTGAAATCTCTCATTACTCTTTGGACCGCCACACACTGGGAGGTGGCAGATGGTCACTGTCTGGGTTTAATTTTGATGTAACTGGGGAAAGGTAAAAATAAGATATTTCATACAGCATTGCATGTTCACTAAGCTGAATTTCCCAAATATAGACTCAGAATTCATTTGTTTGCTACATTTTGCTGCTTTTTAATTGCTGGCTGTCAGAGGAGTAACTGCAGTGACAAATTTGTTTGTTGTAGTCTCTCGTTCCTAGTGTTCCCTGTTTTTATCCTACATTGCCTTCGTTTGAAGACACAGGGTGCTATAGTAGTAATAGGGGAGGTGAAAGTGTTTCTTAACAGGGGAAAGAAGGGGTCAAAAAAAGCAAGCAGGAGTATCCTTGACATTTTTGGCTGGTATACGGGTAGTGAGAGACACAGAAATGTGCCTGTCCTCATGTTTGAAATCGTGACCTAATCCTGCACTTCTCCTGTTCCTGGTGTATCTTTGAGACGTTCTGTCTCTGCCATTGCTTTTCATAACTGATGACTTGTACTGAAAATGCCCTTTTGGGTCTGTGTCAAATGTTTTCTCTCTTTTCCCACTTTTCCTTTCTTTCAATGACAGACCAATGGTTATGAGGACGATGTGTATGGATCATCCCAGAGTAGAAAATCTAGCAGGGTTAGTAAGTTATTTATATTGCTATAAGATTCAATTGCTCTGTTTGATGGGGTTAAAGCTAATTAGCAAATTCTTCTTGTGGTGGAGCAGGTTTTTCCCGTTTTGCATGCTGTGGGGTTTGCAGGTTGTCAGACACCAAGGTGCAGCAATGAGCTGTCTGGAAAAATAAATTAGGCCAGGAGTGGTAAGAGAAGTCTCCCAGCCTGGTACCAGTAGGATTTGGAAGACAGAACTGCTTAACTTGGAAACAAAATTGAGTACAAGTTCATTTGTGACAAGGTATAGCTTGGGGACACCCAGCATGGAGGACTTCCATTTGCTACACAGCAGAAGGACTGTTCTCCAACTTGTACATGTTCATGTCGTGCTCTAACACTGAAAACTCCAGAGCTTCATGTAGAATTTAGCCTCTTGAGATTTGGATATGTAAAATGGCCTTTGGATACTGATATTTTTTTTTTTTTTTTTTTTCCCCCCAAATGCCTGTTAAGTTTGCGTAACTAAATGCTTTTTTTTTTCCTTTCTAAACTGTATCCCAGGGTTTCTGGAAACTCCCACAGAGGTGAACAGCCAGCTCAAGTGTTACTACTTAACTAATTTAGGCTGATGTACTTCTGTTTCTAGAAATATTCTTGTCAAAGAAAGCTTAATAATTAAGTCCATTGTGTGTATGTGGGTCGCAATGTTCCCCTCTGTTCCAGAGCAAGTGTTTTGTGTCAATTACAGGAATTCATTGTCCTGCTCTGTTATGTATTAGGGTTTGTGCAGATTATTTAATGGGACTGCCCCAAGCAGAGCTTCTGGGGAGCAGGCAGAGTAGCTGTTAGTTTGTTGTTTTTTTTTTTACCCTGCCTTTATTTTAGCAAAGGCAGACAAAAGCTCAGAGCCTGTTGATCTCTATGCTATGAAGACTTCTAAAGAAATGTAGTGGTATGCAGACTGAAGCTCTGTGTTTAGGGGAAAAATAAACTACTTTTAAGACTCCATTTAACTAAGTATTTGAGCAATACATGCTAAACATGAGAGAGACTTCAGTGAGAAGCATGAAGTTAAGCAGGCGCTTGAATAAATTGTGAAATGGGACCTTACATTTAATGTCCATTTTAAATTGTTGCTTCTATATAGTTTTATGCTTGCATTTGTGGGTAAGAAACAATGAAATACCGTTGCTTAAACTGTTAAGAAAATGGTATGTCCTGTTGTTTCCACTCTTGCTGAACTGTTTGCCAAGTTCAATGAACTTTATTATGTAGTATGTCTGATAAATGATGTTCTTGTTCTTTAATGATATACTCCAGAGCTCTGAGTACTGCAGGAAGAGCAAAGTATCTTTAAGAAAGTCATCCAGGGAAAAGAAGTTGTTTGCTTTCTGTTTAAATAATTTAAAATCATCTCTGTATTAGGGTTTGCAGCATGGAGGTTTAGTCTATGTGAAGCATCAGTGTGGCGACAGCATTAGCTCCCTGTAGTTTTTTGTAACTAAGCATAATTTAGCTTAATCATAACTCAGAAGGGGGAAGGAATTTTGGGGGTAACTTAGAATAATAGCTGAAACTCCAAACCAGTTGTCACCATTCTGGCTGGGATTCACCTTTAGGAATGCTCTCTCCCAGGCCTAACCTTAAAGATGGTCAAGGTAACAGTGGAAAAGCTAAGAGGATGAAAATTTGTTAGGAAGGTCCGCAGAGAAGCAACAAGTCTGCTGCTAAGTTGTTTCAAAGTAGGTGTCCAGTTTTAGGCACAGGATGGAGCCTTGTCCACATGGAGAAGAGCCTTTGTACAAGGTACTTGCAATACCCCAGGCTGATTCCCTAAATAGGAATAGCACCATGTGCCTAGGGTAGTCCATGTGCTGTTTACAAGCTCTGTGGGAGTGAATGTAATTTCTTTAAGCTCAGTTCAGGGTGTTCTGGTTTCTTTGCAGTGAAAGTCTTATTTTATGGATGCTCAGGGGAAAAAAAAAAAGAGTCAGATTTTTATTTATTATTATTTTTTAGGTTGGACAGTGATTTAGTTACTTTACAATACCTGTAACTGTTGTGTTTTATCCACAAATCTGTTTGCTTGCAGTGCTGGAAGTCCATAGTGTCAAGAGCAAACAAGTACTTTAATTTCTCACAGATTTCCCTCCTTTGTAAATGGAGTTAACCCTTACACGGTTTATAGGGATGATGCAAGGATTAGTAAGGTCTTGTAAGAAGTTTGAATAATAGCTGACTACTGAAAGCAGAGTACCTTGGTTGTCTAGACTCCCATAAGAAGCGACTGGAGAAGGGGAGTGTTTGAGAACAGCTGTAAAAGGAGAGCTCTGGAGCATAGCAAAGAACAAAGAGATGTGGAGAGATCTTTCAGACCAACTAACCATTCCCACCAGCGTGCCAATGGGAAAATGAATCTTAAACAGTGCCTGCGAAGCTTTGAAAATACATCTGCAGCTCGTGTATTGCAGCAGGGCCAGTCAGAGGAGACTGAGCCGAGTACATAGGTCATTTCATGAGGGTGGGCATGCAAGGAGGTGGTGTTTCCTCCCTGGCCCTGCATGCTGGCTGAGGCAGCTTGTGCTCGCTCCTAAGCGCGCCTTCCTGCTGTGGCATTATACCCTTCCTGCCTAGCTCAAGGCTGGATCTGTCCCCAGCACGGCAGAGTAACCATTTCATCATGATGTGCTCTTAGGCTGCAGTTTTCCTGAAAACAGGGAAAATGCAAAGTCCTTCCCAGTGTGCCTGTGTTGTTTGGGTTGTTTGGCTCCCTGAGAGCATGATGTGTCAGGTATTTTATTGAAAAAAAAAATAAAAAAATGCATTGCTCAGCCTGGAGAAGAAAAGGCTCTGGGGAGACCTTAGAGCCACTCCAGTGCCTAAAGGGGCTACAAGAAACCTGGAGAGGGGCTTCTGACAAGGACCTGTAGGGACAGGCAGGACAAGGGGAACGTCCTACTGCCATGCATTATCCATGACAGTCTCCACTGACCAAATGCTTCAGTGGGCAGGGACACCTTCCACTAGAGCAGGTTGCTCCAAGCCCCTGTGTCCAACCTGGCCTTGAACACTGCCAGGGATGGGGCAGCCACAGCTTCCCTGGGCACCCTGTGCCAGCGCCTCAGCACCCTCACAGGGAAGAACTTCCTAATTCATACCTAATTTCAATCTCCCCTCTCTCAGTTTAAGGCCATTGCCCCTTGTCCTGTCCCTACAGGCCCTTGTAAAAAGTCCCTCTCCAGCTTCACTTAACTACAGTTAGGATGAAACTTAGGTGCATGAGCTGCATACATGCTCCTGAAGTCCCTTACAAAGCATGTCCCTCATGGGTCTCTCCCTGGGTTACAGCAATAAGGGAGGAGGAGAGAACATGAGGATCTGGAGCCTTTTCAGTGGAATGTAAACCAAATGGGTATTTTGTGCAGATGATGCCAGAGGAAAGGCCTTTTTATCTCTGCCTTATGAATGGAAGGGGTACACGAGTTTCACGCACCCTCACATCTGTAATGCATTTCTCTTGTTCTGTTTGCCTGTGACCACTTTGAATCCTTGCCATTTGTAATCACCTACTTTACTTTTTTTCCTTCCCATTTAAAGGAATTTAGGAAGTCTGTCACATAATGAAGCTGAGTTCTCAAGGTTTGGTTGTGGTTTCTCTGTTTTTGTTATTAATGCAGGCATCGTACTACTCTGATCTGGGGCTCCACAACAGCGGCTATGCTTCTACATCTCAACCTTCATCCCAAAATGGAAACTGGGTCTGTTTCCCCCTGGCTTTACCTGACCTGGATGTGTTGTTCTGACTTCATTTGGAGAATAACAACCTCTTGTAATTAGGACTGAATTTGGACCAATTGTCAAGAGTCTCTGAAGGTCTTTTAGTAAAAAACCTACAATCCTCAAAACCAACCAAAAAAAGGGGAGCAAAACACCAAAACCAAACCAGACTTTTAAAGATTGGAATGAGTAATGGCAAGCTGTTTTAAAATGAGCACAGTTAGTTTTCCTTTGCTTTTCCTCCCTTTCCTCCAGTTACTTTGTTTGCTTTTTGGCCTCAATTGGTCTGGAAAAGTAAGGGAGATCTTAATTAACTGAAGTTCTCTGTTCTAGTTGAGGCAACTTCTCTGCTCACCTTGTCACTCTAGCAAGCTTAAGACAATCCAGTCTGCATAAAATGAAATTGCAAGCAAGTCATTCACAGACTGCTAGAAGAAAATCACTGAAGCTTCAGAATCACCCAGGAGGTTGGATTGTCCTCTGCATGTGGATCAGAGCTCAGCCAGGCTGGTGCTAGCAAAGCAGTGCTCCAGCAGTGGTCCGCAGCCTGTGCTGCCTCATGGGCAGCACCACCACATGGCCACAACCTGGGGCACTGTGGCCACTGCAGATGTGGACGAGGGAGGTGACTTGCAGCAGGATGTTGCCTGCAGGCTGTGGACTGGGGACCACTGCTAGAGTACCTCTTGCACCTAATTATGTCAGATACAGATGAGCTTAATTGCCGCATCTTGTGCGTGGTGGTTACTAACAGCGAAGTCATTTCTTTTGTGGTGCTCCAACTGAAGTACTCATAATTTCGTTTGGAATTGTTTGGGTTTTCTCTGCATTGTTGTTTAATAATGAAACAGGTGAGAGGTGATCTTACAGCTGTGTGAAGCACTTAAAAGGTGTGTCTTAAAACATGTAGCTCTTTTTCTGGCTTTGGTTGAAGTGAGGAGGAACACTCTTTCTGGCTGCTATACACAAATGTGTGTGAGACAATTACAGTTTTTAACGACCTAAACTTAAATTATGCTGATTTGCTTTTGCATACTCTCGTGTCCTCCTGTCCTGTAGGAAATGCATGTGTCTGCTTGGTATTCTTAGTCTTTGGGAGTTGAGATCTCATGCTTTTGTGGCACAGATTACTAACATTCTTTATACTGGGTTTCCTTCTGTTGCAGTTTACTAATCCTAATCTCATCAAAATGCCTTATTCTGCTGTAGGTGCCTTTTTTTGTTTCATTTTCTATGCAAAAAAAGTTTTGTGCTTGTCTTCCTCAGCCCTCCTTGCTGTGCAGTGATGCCCCAGCCAGAAGTTACAGGGTTTGTTGTACTAATACTCGAAACCCAAACACCAAAGCCACTCACCTTAAGCCATGCACATGTTGTCTCCTACCTCAGTAGTTCCTGTTGGGTTCATTTATTTCACACTCTGGTGTTTGATCCATCTGAATGCATGTGGGCAGTGCTGTTTGTACAGACCTGGATTTGTTGATCCTTCTTTTTATTCCTCTTGGAATAAAACAAGGCAAGGGTATTCATCTCGGCCTTGCGCTTGGTTTACAGATAAAACACTTTGAAAAGGTCATACGTGAAGTCCCATCATAACCACTGCTCATGGGGTTGTGATGCTGCCATCGGCTTTTCTCTGAATGGGAGACAGTGATCCTCATTTTGGGGTCTTAGCTGCTAACAGCGTGCAGGAGAGAGGCAACATCAATTCTTTCTGTTGTGTGACAGCTAACAAGAATCTGTTCAAAACAATTTTATACCCAGATTTCACTTTTCTTGTTCAAACTTTCGAAGTAGCTTCTCCGATTATTATTTCTTTTTTCTTAAAGCTTAAAGATAGAGTTTCCTACTGCCCCTGTGTTTCCTGAGCCGTACATTCATACGCTAAATTGGAGCCAGTCTTAAAACATGAATCTTCCTCCCCTTTTATTTATTTAGTAAACTGGCTGGTAAGTGATGTTCACCAGGTGTGAGTTTCCCCCATATTGCCAGCACCACAAATGAAGGTTAAACAGGCTTGAACAGTTGAAGAATTGATGTAGCTATTTTGTTGACAGGCACCATAAGATGCTGAATTGATGGCTGGGAGAAGGGTTAGAAATGCATGACTGTGTGATGGACTCGGGGGGATGTGTGTCAGATTGTGCACATGCCTCGTGGCATTTTCCAGCTCACATCTTCAGGTCGTGTTAGAACTTCACTTGCATGTTGCTTGTGGTTGCATATGGGAGATGTCCCCGTCCTTGCACATACTGCTCATTCCTTTGTGCTGCACCTTGTGAACATGTAATTCTCCAGACTGAAACCAGAAACGAGGTCTGCCAGTCCTGTTCTGACTCTGTCTTTTAATTGTAGGCGTCTGTGTATGACGAGAGCGTTTACAGTGGGAGTCGTCGGTATAGTGCCTCTAGTTCTCGTGCTGTAAGATGTTTTCTGCATTTCCCTGTTGTCTTGTCTCTGTCCCCCACTAACCTGTGTGTACCAGAGCACAGCCTTTTCTGGGCTGAGCAGCGTTTAAGATGGACTGTGTGAGATCCATAACCTACTGCTATAGGCAAAAGGACAAGCACTATTTCTGTGTGCTTTCATGAAATAATAAGTAGGAATTTATCTGCTATTGTGATGCTCTTGCACTGACAGAATCCAGCAGTAGGCACTCGCCCCACTACAGCAAGGGTGTTCATCTCTGCTTTGCACTTGGTTTGTAGATAGAACACTTTGACAAGGTGGTACATGGAGTCCCTTCCTTTGCTGAGACTTAAATCTTCTTCTGAAAATACAGATTAAAAACCACTCCCTTCTCTCAAGCCCTTTCTGCAGCCAGGAAGTGAAGGACTCGTGTGAACACACGGCTGGCTTGACTTGGGGGTTGGGGTGTTCTGGATTTATATGCTGTAAGTGGGGTCTTGGGCAACTCGGTGTTTTCAGAATGCACACTCCTGTGAGTGGAGGGCTCTGTCAATTATGGACAGCAACAGTATGAGGAATGGCAGTAGGAATTGTTTCCTTTCATGAAAGAGAGGCTGCAGGACTTGGTTTATGGATTAGAAGGCAGAAAATACCATCATCTCTTCTCAGGTGGGGCCCCTGTCATTCGGGCCTGGCAGTACATCTGCTGCTGTCGTATCTGCCTGGGTGGTGCGGGCACACTGCTTACACTCTGATCACCTTCACTGAGTAGCAAAAAACCCCCAACCAAACAGAAAAACCCCAACAAACAAAAAGCTGCCACTGACACCTTAACAGAAAAAAGCCTCAGGACAAAGCACTGATGTCACTTTAACCTCAAAAGTGACAATTTTGTTAGCCTGGAGAGGGAAACACTTTCAGGAATGTTTACTGAGCACTTGTTAGCCTTTACAGGGCGATGCCATCCTCTTGCAGTCACAGTGACGCAGTAGCTGGTCTGTGCATCTTGCTGCTGCGGCTGTTGAGCTTCAGAGGTTTGTGTCGCTGTTGTGCCTGTTTTTCATCTGGCTCCTCCGGACCATTCATCCCTGGTTACATGCTTGGACCGTTGTGGCAGCTTGCAGTCCAGTGAATTTGCCACAAGGCTGTGCTGAGCCCTTGGTTTTTATGGGGTGTGTCTTTCTGTTCGAGAGAAGTCTCTCAGAGGTCCAGATGATACAGTTCTACTCTTGGCAAGAATCATTGCCAGTGGGCTCCAAACCCAAATGCTCTTTATAAGTCTTTCAGCCATTGTTAATGGCTTCAGCAAGGAACACTGAATAAAACACTGGTGCTGGTTCCCTTTCTTCTCTCCCCATCCCACCCTGTGCTACAGGTATTGGAAGTCTGTGTATAATCAAGCCTTTCCACTTTCTTTTGCATGGTTGCATGTTGAGAGTTGAAGTACAAGGTTTTTGCCTCAAAGGGAATAGCCTTTTCACAATTATGGGGTTATCTGTAGTTATTTTAGTGTCTCTGAACCTCATAGCACTTTTAACATGGAGTGCCATTTGGGTAGCTGTCCCCAAAGAATGATCTTGGATAAGCAGATGACAGGTGAAGACAGGGGAAGAGGATAAAACTAGCCTTGCTTGGTCTCAGCCAGCTGAACAAGTGACCCTTGCTTCCATGTTCTGCCCTGCAATAATACTAGGAGCAACTACAGAATAAATCAGTCCTGTGAAACATTAATGTGGGGCTCATTAGCAGTTAATACTTTTTACCTGTCATGTGTTTCTAGATTATTCTACATCCTTGTTATAACACAAAACACTGGTGATGTTGCAAGGCTTCTGTGCTAGAACTACTTAACCCCAGACCCAAAATCTTAAGTGTTTACTTCAGTGCTTTTTGCTTTTAATTTAGGAATCGAAGTGGCTGTGATTGAAAATAGCTGTAAATTGTATGTAGCATAGTTCCAGATTCTGTGTATTGTCATCTCTGAGGCTGAGCTCAGTAGCTCAGATGCATGAAGCCAGTGTCACTTCATGTAAGACATCTGAGGACATGGCTTGATCACATTGTGCCCTGCTTGAAGGGCTTACTAAGGGCTGTATGCCTTGGAAAGTGATGCTTTGTGGTTAGTGACTAATCTGATAGTTGCACTATAGCTGGGGTTATTTCCAGCTTACCTTCTTGTCATTTATTAGTACTCCGATTTTCATTTAATACTGTGCCACTTTGTTAGCATAACTAACAATGCTGAAACAGTCCTCCAATAGCTTGGTGAAGATCTGACTGTCTCTGCAGACAAGAAGTCCAGGGGATTCCTGTAGTGGACAGGTAATTTAATAGAAGAAACCTTAATAGCAGAGAACGCGCATCTTGGAAGTAGGTAATTCCTTAGATTGCAGTGGTTTTGTGCCTAAGAAACAGTCTTAAGTTCCTATGAAATCAACTGATAAAAGTTATTAGCAGCATAGGCTGAGCAGCTGAGGAGAACAGTTCCTCATGCTTGTTCCTGTCCCTGAACTGCCTCTGCCCTTGTGTTGCTTTTGCACATGAAATATGGCAGACTGACATGCCTCTCTACAAAGCCTGCATTCACAATTACCTTGTAGTAGCAATAAGGAAAATACCATGTCTGCTAAATGGCAAAAGTTTCTTTAATTCCTGTCTGTTCTGAATGAACTTCAGTACTCCCTTTTATATATGCTTACGTATCTTTCTGTAAAGTACATCCAAATACAAGATCGAGTGTGAAGCTGCTCTGAAATCTGTGAAAATAGAGGGAATAATCCTAAAATGCATTTCCAGAATAAGTTTCAGTTCTGTTTCCCAGATGCTTGAAACTTTAATTTCCCTTCCCTCTTCCACTGCATTATAACCTCTGGAAATAAAACAGTGTAGATACATTCTTCCTTCTTCTCAGCAGTAAGTCAGCTCTGTCTGTTCTGCTTCACTGCTTAGATGTTTGCTTTTAAGAAGGACTAAAGTACTTTCTTTGACAGGAGATGAGGACTGCAGGTTCTGGAAAAGCAGGAGAGATAGTCTCTGAGATGGTCTCAGTTTTTACTTTAATCACCACGTTGATGGATGTTTCTTGCTTTGGCCTGTGGAGCACAGATTCATTTAGTACGTGCATAATGTTGGAAACATGGGAAGAAGGCTAACCAGAGAACCTCAGAGCTCTTGAAAAGAAGTGGAGCCTTTTGTATAGAGACTGACAGTTGTTTACTTGTGACTGGTATTTTAACATACATAAATAAATCATTTGTATTCAGTCCTTCTAAGAATTGAATCAAAGCTCTGTTGGTCTGTCAGCTGGAATTACTACTTGCTTTAATTTTTAAATGAGCTGTTGAGGTGTCTGGTCTCTGACTTTCACTGCTATTCCTTTGTCCAGCTGCATGCAACAGTTTCGTCATTAACTTCAGATGTAAAGCTTTAAGTCCTCTCTCATTTCCTTTCTCAATTCTGATGCTTTTCTCTTTTTCTCTGCTTGCTGTTCTTGGTTTCCTGTGGCAGCCTTCTGAGTACAGTTGCTACCTTGGGTCAGGATCTCGGGCATCCTCAAGAGCCAGCTCTGCACGGGCCAGTCCAGTGGTGAGCTCCTTTATTTTTCTTTGTCACTAAAGTGTTTCATTCCTCTGTTCTTCAGGGGTTTTTTTTTTATACAGGATGTTCAATCTCTTCTGAGACAGTTACCTACGGTATTAATTGGACCTGCTGGGCAATCCTTAAGACAGAGAAGGTGTAAACCAGATGAAGAGTTAGAAAACCAAAGTAATTTCCATGCAGATAAACACTTTTTTACAACAGAAAGTACACTTTGGACTCATGTGACTGCTATTTCTTTTTTTTTTCTAAGTTGGGCATAAAACACCTCAGCATAGGTATTGTGAAAAGTCTGTGGTGTTGATGCTAGTGCCACATTTCCTTTGGTTATTAAAACGAGGAAACCCTAAATCTTACTACAGTATTCAAGTAGTTCAGTTTCTCTATGTTGAGCAGTATTTTGGTGATGTGTTACTTCAGGGCTGCCCAGAGATTGGATTTGAACGTATTTGTTAGCCTGTAGATTACCAGGCCTTATAGAGCCTTTAGCATGGTGGAGTGCTAGCAGGATTACGTGTACCTGGCATGTCGAGCATCATGGAGTTGTACCTAAAGAAGACTAAAATAACAAAGTCTTGTCCAACCTCTTGTGACTTTTCCCCCCTGCTTTTTACCAGATAGGAAGTAATAGTATTCCATTTGTTCAGTATCCAGGTACTGGATACCAATACACTGATCTTGGCTTCCGTTATTTGTATTTTGCATGCAGTCTGAGTTACTGGTGCCAGTTGCTTACAGTAGCCACAAAATGCAGCTTGCCCTTCTTTGGGAGCTAGAGGGGATTTCCTGGTTTTTAGCTTTCTGCTCACACTTGGGACTGTTTGTATGCAAGTGGCTCGAGATGGTTTGCTGCTGGAGAGGAGCTGGTGGAAGCTGTTCTGCAGGGAGACAGCAGGCACTTTTGTTTGTTTATTTATTTTAAATCAGTGGCTTATTAAAGGATGTGAAGCGCTTCTGTTATTTCCCTGGCCTTGAAGATGAGCTGAGAGTTAGTGCCATAGTGGGTCTAAAAGGCACCACTGCAGGAGCTTTGCTTCTAATGCAAGATAGTTAGAAGCCTTGTTAATGGTGTGGCATTGCTCTTTAAAGCTCTAAATCCTGTATGGGGTCAAGGCAGCAGCACCCTGTGATTTCCCACTCTCCCTCTTTTTTCTTTTTTTGTGTATTAAACAGGGTGCCTTTTCATGTAACTCACAGTAAGGAGTCACCTTGCCTTTTACTAACAGAGGTTTCAAGGTGTTTTGATACATTTTCAGTTGTGCATTTGTTCTTGGCAGTAAAGATGCTGAAATAGAGCCCCGTCTTCTTAGTGGGCTTAGCAGTATATTACTTCCACTCATACAGTTATGAGATGTCGCCTGCTTGGACTTCCTAGAGGAAGAATAAACGTCTCCTTGAATAATGGTGATAACTTATGAGAGTAAAAAAAGTGGCTGTTCTTGTCTAGATCAGCAGTCTACATTAAAACTGTTTTAATATTGCTAATCCCCAAAACTGAATCATAGAATCATTAAACTGCTTGCATTGGAAGGGACCTTAAAACTTACCCAGTTCCAACTCCAAAGGGACACCTTCCACCAGAGCAGGTTGCTCCAAGCCCCTGTGTCTAACCTGGCCTTGAACACTGCCAGGGATGGGGCAGCCACAGCTTCTCTGGGCACCCTGTGCCAGCAGTGCCTCAGCACCCTCACAGGGAAGAGCTTCTGCCTAAGAGCTCATCTCAGTCTCCCCTCTGGCAGGTTAAAGCCATTCCCCTTGTCCTGTCCCTACAGGCCCTTGTCCAAAGCCCCTCTCCAGGTTTCCTGGAGCCCCTTTAGGCACAGGAGCTGCTGTAAGGTCTCCCCTTAAGGAGCCTTCTCTTCTCCAGGCTGGACCAGCCCAGCTCTCTCAGCCTGGCTCCAGAGCAGAGCTGCTCCAGCTCTCGCAGCATCTCCATGGCCTCCTCTGGACTCACTCCAACAGCTCCACATTCCTCTTGTGCTGTTGCCCCAGAGCTGGCTCAGGACTGCGTGGGGGGTCTCCCCAGAGCACAGCAGATGGGGAGAATCCCCTCCGTTGACCTGCTGCTCACACTCTGGGGGTGCAGCCCAGGATATGATGGGTTTCCTGCCTTAATGTATCAAGGCATATGCCTTTTTGATTCTGCTTTATATACCTTCTGACATTAACCCACATAAAGATTTGATTGCAAGTTTACATTTTAAATTGCTGGTGGAGTAGAAAGGAAAGGGGAATATTTGTTGGGTTGAAAAGCTGAATTTCCAGCATGCTTACACCTCCTGAGAGCGTGACAGTTTACAAAATCCATGTACTGTTATCATTAGTGCATACATTATCTTGTCCCTCCAGCCCTTAGATTTTGTCTCTTTTTTCCCCCTTCTACCAGTGTTCATTAAACAGTGAGCAGAAAGTGACAGTAGTTTGCCTGCTGTACATAGCTTTGTCAGGCTGTGTTCCCATGCTTGTTTTACAACAAAAGCCAGGAAGATACATAAACACAATATGTGAATATCTATTGGTCTTTGTATTTTCAAGAATTCACTATATCTGCATGAAGTTTGTTGTTTGATTATTTGTCTTTAACATTTTCCCAGTTACCTCCCCTAGTAATTGCTGTCTGCCCTCCTTTCAGTTACTGCAGATACGTGAATGTGTGGTTTAATGTTAAAGCATTATACTCCATGTCTTAACAGAGCAAACATCAGGCCCATCTGTACAGATGGAAGTAAATCTTGGGCCTGGCATGTTTAGGCTGAGATGGGCTTTTTAATACAAATTGCTGTATTTTTTCTTACTTTAATAAACTACTAGTGAAAAGTATTTACACATTTCAAATAGACTCAGAACGCAGTAGTACTTATCTGAAGACTTTCTGAACAAAACAGCTTTTTCCATTTGAAGAAGTTGAACATGTTCTCATGAGAAATAAAAAGGAAGACAGTAACAGAACTCTCACGGAAGCATTTATCAGCATGCTCAAGCTTTGCCTTCTCTCCCGTGCACTTACATTATTTATGGTAGGCTTGTAGCCGAGCCCATCCCCTGACAGCGTGGATGTGCCTTCAGCCCCTCCAGGGTAAGGCTCTGCTGGAGCAAAGAGACTGATAAGTTTGTTTGAGCAATGACGTTTGGCATAGCACTCATTCCTGAGCAAGGATACTGCTGACAAATCCACTTTAGACCTGACAAATTTCAGCAGTGTTTTCTCCCTGCTGCATATTGAAGGCTTATTGCTAATAGCTAAGTGTTATGGTGGCTCTCACTGGAAAAACACAGGAACTCTGTGTTGCTGCCTGTCCCAGCCCAGCCGATCAGCCTGGTAAGATGGGGAGTGCAGGAGGGGTTATGCTGACTGCAATACTTTTACTTCTTTTTCTTTAAATTCTAGTTTTTGTTGATTTAATCCTGTGTTGGTGCTACCAATTGTAAGAATTTTTCTTCCATGTGGGACATACTTCCATTTCAAACTGTGCTGTATTACTGTAAGAGCAGGAAATGATCTTAATTTGATTTCTTGCCCCAAAAAATCCCCTTGCTTTTATGAGGAAGTTGATTGAAGTGCAAGACCTCAGATGGAGCTGAGTAGTGACAGCCATGTACTAAAACACCCTGAAGTTGCTCCTATGCCTGAGTGTGGTATGTGGCACTACTAAACTGCAAGTGTTTCGGATTTCCCTTCTTTAACCCTGTAAAGGAGGCTGGAAATTGTGCCTCAGTCCTGATTCTTCTTAAATCTTTACTAGCCGCTGGAGCTTAACGCTTAACTCTCTCCAGGGCCTCTGGTCTCTTCAGTAGGCATTTGAGAGTCTTGTTGGATGCACTGTGCTAGTGCTGGCGGGTCTCTGATTTTGGCATCAGTACTCACTGGTGACAAAGAGTTTCAAGGGTTAAACTGCGAGCTGACTGCAAAGTAGAGAGAAACACTTTTCCAAACATTACATTCTTATCTATGAAAAATAGGTAATAGATCCAGATAGAGACTTATGGGATGGTTTCGTCATGTGGCTTCCAGCGGCACTAATCCTCTGATGTTGCTGGCATTTCTTGTAATGTAGCTCTGGATTTCTTCTGAAATCGTTGTCAGAAGGGGCTGGACTCTGATCCTGTTGTACTTACTTTGCAGAGAACAACCCATTCCCCTTGAGAAAACAAAGATGTGCGTGCTGGAGTTCCCAGGAAAATCGCTTCATTTTCCTGCTCTTTTTATGCACTAAAATACAAAGTACACAAGTTGTTGGTGAAGAGGAAGGTACCCTATTTACTACAAGGGTGGTGAGGTGAGGCGCTGGCACAGGGTGCCCAGAGAAGCTGTGGCTGCCCCATCCCTGGCAGTGTTCAAGGCCAGGTTGGACACAGGGGCTTGAAGCAATCTGCTCTAGTGGAAGGTGTCCCTGCCTGTGGAACTGGATAAGCTTTAATGTCCCTTCCAATAAAACCAGTCTGGGATTCTGTGATTCTGTCTCTAGGGACAGACCATACCTTTGTGGAAATGAAAATTGTGTAATGTTCTATGAATCTAGTATCATTAGGTGAATTCCTCTTTAGATGCCCTCTTCCAGCAAGTATTCTGTTAGTCCTTTATATTTGCATGCAGAGAATTTGCAAACCCAGGGTATTTGTATAAAGTGCTATGCCGAGTACCGTACTGTGGAGGTGGAGAGATTGTTTTCGGTCTATTTAATCATTATAGCATTCTTTACTGAATGATAATATAGCAGGTAAGTATTTTGGGCAAGAATTTTGTGCAGCTTCAAATAAGCCTCTTTTTTTCCTGACCTTTCTTTCTTTGATTCTTGCTGGATCAAATGCCAAAGGGCTTGTTGTGGGAACAGGGTGAAAGCTGAAAACCTGGGGTTCCCTCTGGTGGCTGACTGCTGTTGGGAAGCACCATTTATCTTTTTAAAGGAATGATAGGTACCATGAATACAGTAATTGAAAGATGAGTAGAATGAAAACTATGTAAAATATTAATCTAAAATAGATTAATAGACCTCTACCTTTCTACAAGACACTCTTTATAGATCTTGGTGTATCACTGCCACATAACTGTAAAATTAAATGCTGCTCGTTTCAGGTGGACTTTTTTTTAGGAAAGTATTGTGTAGCAGGAGGCATCTTTGTAATGAAAGGAGGGTGCGTTAGAATGAGGAACTGGCTTTTTTCAAAACACACTAGATTTTTAGATGTTAATGTTTCAATCAGTTGGCAGTGGTAATTACTGCCTTTGAGAAAACCCTCAAGAGTGCCGTTCGTGGCACCAAATGGATGTGTGTATGAGAGCATTGCTCTCATACAAAGTGATTTGGTTTTATTCCTTTTTTTTTTTTTAAGCCACCTCAACTTCAGAAGTTACTTGATAGCTTTAGTTATTAACTATTATACCCCCTTAGAGAGTTATTAAAGATTGTTTTGCAATGAATGCATAGCAAGCTTCACAGGTGTGGTTGGTGAGTGCTCTGAGTAGAGCTGTATGCTTATCCTGCGCCACACTGTCTTCAACATTTTCCTGTTCAGGAGTGGAAGCCTTTATTTGCCTGATGATGCATCATTAAAACAATATCAATATTTGTTCCCTTCTTTATCTTAGTAAAAACTGAGATTGCATTCTTCCTCCCCCCCCCCCCACGTAATAGAGGGCATTTTGCAAATGTCTTAAGGAAAAGAGTATCTTGAGTTGTGTCCTAAACCCATACAGTAGATTTTAGTCTGGTCTAACTCCAGGCTAAATTTCTGGGGGGAGATTTGTGAAGATACACTAATCTTTGGTAAGGTGACAATATTGATAAACAACAACATAGTGTTTGGCCAGGCTTAGAAGGCTGCCAAATCCACACCTTGGAATTATCTGGCGTGAAAATAGTAGGCTGTTTGCAAAAGGCAGTCCATCTTGTTTGTTGGGTCTGAACTGAACTAACTGCCTTCATTAGTGACCTTCTCTTACTAAAAATTCAGATTCCTCCCTCTCCCCCAGTACTTTGTCTCTTCAGGGTCTTCATGAAGTTTATAATCTAGTGCTTTAAGTCTGGGTTTTAATTCAAAGCATAAGTCTTAAATTTCCTTAATGCTAATCATAGGGGATTTATGATATGTGTTGTTAATGTAAAAAGCTGATTTGGAAGAGATACCTCTTAGTTCTGGGTTTGTTTTTTTTCGTAGGGTACCACTGGTAATAATAAGAAAAATGAGTGGGATCATCCATATATTATTCTGTATAATTCAGAGGGAAAAAACAACCCTGTGCCAAACGTGGACTGATTGGAAAGAGCTGTAGTTTCAGAGTGTGTTTTCAATGACACTAACTCTCAACCTCAGTATCCGCTGCCTTCCCCTGAACTGGATCTCGCCTGATTTTTTTCCCGCAGTCATTTCAGAAACACTTCTCCCTTTGGCTTTCGGGCTCTTGATCTGGGGAAGCCAGGAATTTTCGCAGAATCTTTTGGGAAACCATCTTGGCTGTGGTGCTGAATGTTCCCAGAGGAGGTTGACGTGTTCTGGACTTAATGAGTTCTGCTGAGCCTTTAATTTCACTTGGACCCTTTTACACTCAGTTCCACTTTAGATGGAGATACTTACGGAAAGATTCTGCTGTGAATCACTCCTGCTTTTGGGAACTTGTATATTTGTTTTGTTTCAGAGCATGAAGAAGTGGATAGGATGGGCTCCCACCGAGGAGTAAACCAAATCTTTTCAGGGTGTATGTGGGCTTTACTCTGTAACTCTCTTTTGAGCATTTGTGGTGTCAGTATTGAAGGTAATTTTCTGTACTCCCAAATGCTACTACTTTGGCTCTGTTTTACTTCTTCTAGACTAGTTTTAATAAAGATCTCCCTTTGGAATTAGTAAATTCCAGCCAAGTACGAAAACCGTAAGAGATGTTTATTTCAACTTTGAACTGGTCCCTGATATTTGACTTGATGATCAGGTTTTGTCATCTCAGCCTTTCTCGGATCTCTACTTGAAGCTGCAGTCACCTTTCATCTTAAGCAGAGAATACTCACAGAGTTTTTAAAACTTTAGATTTCTTTCCCCAGCCCCCCACCCCCCCTTCCATTCCCGTTCTTCTTTTGGGAGCTGTGCAGACACAGCACAGTCCTTCAGGTCTGACTTGGTTTCTTGATTTTTGGAATGGGGAGGGTGTGCTGGCAGTCTTCAGAGGTAGCCCTTTTTCAGTTAAGGTCCATAAATAATTTAACTTCAAGAAGCTGTCTTGGTCTGGAAATGTATTGATCTCTCGGTTGAAAAACTTAACCTCTTGTCGTGGTTTAAACCCAGTCAGGTAATTCGTTCGCTCACTTCCCCCCCTTTCTTGCCCTCCCCCTGCTCTCGGAGGGACGGAGAGGAGAATCAAAAGAATGCAACTCCCACGGGTTGAGATAAGAACAGTTTAGTAACTAAGGTATAACACAAATCACTACTGCTACCACCAATGATAATAATGATAAAGGAAATAACAAGGGAACAGAATACAACACCTCACCACCCACTGACCGATAACTCGCCCCCCAAGCCCGACCAAGCTCTGACCGATACCTCCTCCAACCCTGCAGTCTCCCAGCCTTTCCGGCTAACTCCCAGTTACATCCTGGGCATGACGTGCTGTGGTATGGAATAGCTCTTTGGTCAGTTTGGGTCAGGTGTCCTGTCTCTGCTTCCTCCTGGCTTCCCCTTCCCCCTGGCAGAGCATGAGGCTCACAAAGTCCTTGGCCAAACCAAAACATCGTTATCAGCTCTGTTCCCGAGCTGAAAGTCAAAACACTGCACTACACCAGCTACCAAGAAGGAGAAAAATGACTGCTACTGCTGAACCCAGGACACCTCTCTACTGAAGTAAATTGCTATGTTCATTTGAGGCATATTTTTGAATTGACCCAAAGTAAATAAGATGTGTCTGCATACATCAGTACAGCAGCTGCATACAGCTGGGTTTATGTCCAGGGTAAGACATATGGGGCTTTGAGTTCAAGCCCATTGTATTCTTGCTTTGTTAACTCATAGATCACATACCATCTTCATGTTTGAAATGTCATGTAGAACATGTGAAAAAAATATTCCTCTGTCTTATTTAATAGACCAAATTAGTTCCTATCAGTAAGTATATTCCAATTCATTACATGGAGTTTAGAAACTTGAGATAAATTGTCCAGTCAGGACACAGCTGTTCTGAGTGAGCTGGCTGCTTTTTAAGTGCCTAGAAATGGCTAAAGAAGAGTCTTTCACAGGTTTAATAATTCCCTTTCTGATATCTTACTGCCTTTACTTGTCCTTTTCTGATTACATTAATAAATCCTTCTTAATCTTTGTTTTACAGATTGAGGAAAGGCCAGAAAAAGACTTTGAGAAGGTAAGAAGGATCTTATGAATTACTCTGACAATAGTGCTTTCTTCACATTCTTTATGGTAGATAGAACTCACGGTAAGTGTACAGAAACCTTCTATAAAATCCATTGTGGCGCATAAACTTAAATTCATAGAATCCCAGCCTGGTTTGGCTTGGAAGGGACCTTAAAGCTCATCCAGTTCCACTCCCCTGCTATGGGCCGGGACACCTTCCACTAGAGAGGATGCTCCAAGCCCCTGTGTCCAACCTGGCCTTGAACACTGCCAGAGATGAGGCAGCCACAGCTTCTCTGGACACCCTGTGCCAGCGCCTCACAGGGAAGAGCTGCTTCCTAGTATCTAATCTAAATCTTCCCTTTGTCAGTTTAAAGCCATTCCCCCTTATTCTGTCACTCCATGACCTTATAAAACGTCCCCCTTCAGATTTCTTGTAAGCCCTCTTAAGCTATTGAAAGGAGTTGTTGGAACCTTCTTTTATTACATTTTTGCAGGTGAACTTTTCAACCACTGGTCATTCAGATGTTAAGTAGTTGCCCTTTCAGCTAGCCTGAAATTGCTTTAGGCCAAGTCACATGAATACTGTGTTTGTTTAGTACATTTTAATTACAGTATTATGTAACAATAACTAATTAGTAATAAAAGAGGAGAATACTGCAGTGGCTTAATGCAGAACCCTCAGTACAGTAAAACAGTTATTGTTGCTACTGCTGCAGAGTAGATAAGCATCCATCAATGGAGAGGAGCTACAAAGTGTATTATTACAAGTTTTGAAAGTATCTAGCAAGATGATACTAGCCCCTAAAGACTTTCTATCGAATTAAGAATTAATAGCGGGAAGCTAATTCATGCAAACTCCTGTTACAGTAGTGTTTAAATACATCTGCTCTGTCTTTTCTCCTTAGTTTCCCTTATTAAATCTCGATCAGACCTTCACAATTTAGAAGTGCAAGGGCTGGTTACATGTATATTCAAGCAACCAAACAAACTACAAATGCACAATGTATCTAGAAAAGTTCTAAACATTTTAAACTGTGTGTGATTATAGGGAGCACGTACTGTCTCAAGTCTATCAGCAGCTACCTTAGCTTCTCTGGGGGGGACTTCTTCACGAAGAGGCAGTGGGGATACGTCCATCTCTGCTGATACAGAGGCATCTATTAGAGAAATAAAGGTGAGAAATACTTCAAACCAGAATAAATTGTTAAATATCCTTTAGACTTCCTTCCAGGAAAGAAACTGGCTTGTCCTCCCCTCCTGCCAGTTCTGCCAAAGTGAATTGTATGCTGTAAACGAAAAATGGATAGCTTTGCTAGAGACATGCTGCTGGGAGCTAGTGTGTATTGCAGGAATATTTGGGTGTATGATAGCAGAACAGACTGATCATAATGGACACATCTCATCCTAAGCTAATGAAATAGGAAGTGGACTCAGTAGAGCACAATAATAGGAGATTGAAACGAGGGAAGAATCACTGCACTTGCTGGATGCTAATTTGGGGAGGGAGCTGTATTTTTGTAATCTTGTTTATGATTCCATGAGGTTGGACACATTAGCAAATAGCGACACGATCCAGTGTCTGTATCATTGAGTGCTAGTCTGGGTAGTCCATAGTTAAATAGTTCTTGGAATCTGTTTTTTCTTAATGTTCCCTTCTGAAGACTGTTTTAAAATGAGGAATCTGTGTTCTGTTAACTTCCATGCATCTGACTTAAAACTCTGCTGAATTTACAGCCACTTAAAGCATCTGGATGTGTATTAGGACCTCAGATAGAAGCAGGTCTGTCCCAGTTTCATCGCTGTAAAGCAGCTGAAAGATAGTTATTTCCTTGTGATCAAGGACAAAAGAGGAGAGAGACTGGAAAATAAGTTTTGAACACTTGCTTTTTCCTATCAGCTGCACTTCTGCCTGTTGGTTTGTGGCATCATTCACCTTTCTCACCATTTCTCTCAGGATATCTATGAGTTAAAGAACCAGATTCAGGATGTAGAAGGCAAATACATGCAGGGACTGAAAGAAATGAAGGTACTGGTTTATTGCAGCCTGGAGTGTGATCATTAACACTAGCTAAACATGCAGAGAGTCCATGTGGGACCTAGAACTCACCTTGCATGCTTTGCCATCTTCTGGGAGGGCTTGTAACTTGTGTGAAAAGCATTTCATGAACTGGAAAAATACCTGTTCTGATCTTGAGTGATTGTGGTGAAAAATGCTTCCATCTGTTAAGTGAAAGGCCACTGATTACTGTTGCATGTTGTCTTCACTGTTTGGAAAGTAATCATTTTGCTAGCAAATTAAAATGACTAGTTTTTTTTTTTTTTATATATATATATATATATATAGTTTTCTTATCCAGGGAACCTCCCAGCACTGGAAGTGAGCTAGAACTCATGTCATACAGTTCTGTGAAAAATTGGAGTTTAAAAGCTTGTATGGTTTTGCTTCGATAAGGTCCAGCATAACTTTGGAAAGTTGGAAATCTGTGCCAGTGTCTCACAGGGAAGAACTCCTAATACCTAATTTAAATCTCCCCTCCATCCGTTTAAAGCCAGTCCCCCTTGTCCTGTCACTCCTGTCCTTGTAAAAAGTCGCTCTTCAGATCTATTGTAGGCCCTTTTAGAGTCACTTTCAGTATGTCCCTTTTCAATTCATGTCTCTTAGACTGCATTTGAGGTGAAGATGCTAAGGAAACAAAACATAGTATGCTGAAAGAGTGGTGCAGCAACTACTTCAGCTTCTTACTTGCATATATTTCCTTTCCAGTTACTTTCTGAGGTTTGATCCTAACACTTGTTTCCAAATCCTGGTGGCTTTCCTGTGCTTGGTATTTCTCATCCTTGGTCTGGAAAGTGCACCAAAGCACAGTTTGTGTTTGGATCTGTACAAATTCACATCCTTAAAGATAAATTGTCTTACTTCTCAAAGCAAAAGTAAACTAAACTGATTCAACTTTCAGGTGATTTTTGCTATTATTTCAATACTGTAATTCCCAGTTCTGTTTATTGAATGAAATAGGAAGTATATGAAACTCACCTGTGCTTTAGATGTAATTATTAGGGTTACTTTAGTTGCAAGAGAAATTGCTTGACCTGTAAACTAAAATCTCGACATCCGTGCCCTCCTTGTTTGCGTATTTGCACTGTTTTATGTAACTCTTTCATTTCTGTATTAAAATCAAATACTGCAAAGTTTGACTGCACGAACACAGAGAATTATCCTGAGCGTTATTTTGCCATCATTTATTGTTACAAATACCCCAGTATCTTATATTCAGGTCATGTTGGTAGGAGTGGTTTTCACAATACTGGGAATTGTATCTTGCGGAGTGAATTTGTAAAGAAGGGATGAGATCCAGAAAACCTAATGAAAAATGATACATCAGGTCCTAGAAGCTGCAGCTTTTTCACCATGAATTCTGAGTCAGTATATTCAGTTGTTCCCACGCTTCCAGGATCCCTGCAAGTTTGTGTGAAGTGGCTGTCAAACTGCCTCATTTTAAGGCCTAAGGTCATCTTAAAATGATCTTAAATCAAGCCCAGTTTACCTTTAAGAAAACCCAACCAATAGTCCTGCATGTCATCTTCAGCAGCTGCTTTGAGCTGCCAACCTGCAGGGGCAGGGGAGGAGGGGAAGGAAGAAAACTGAGAAGGCAGAAGCTGAAGCAGCAGAGAACAGGAAGCATTTTATTTGTCCTGAGGTAAGGTTCCTTGCTTATAAACAGAAGTCTGGTGGGAACAGGGGAGGTTATCCTCACCTTGGGACAGTTGGTAAGCATCTCTAGCACATGATTACACTGGTTTCCCTGGGAGTACTGAGCATACTTGTGATTTAGCGTTTAATGTTCTCGTTGAAGGTCTTGGTTGGCAAAGGATCCTTTATAGCTCTCTGTGGTTGCTTATTCTTTGCAGGACTCTCTAGCCGAAGTTGAAGAGAAATATAAGAAGGCTATGGTGTCAAATGCTCAACTAGACAATGAAAAAACAAATTTCATGTACCAAGTAGATACCCTGAAGGATGCGCTCTTAGAGTTAGAAGAACAGCTGGCAGAGTCCAGGCGGCAATATGAAGAAAAAAGTAAAGTATGTATAATAGCAGTGGCATGTACAATGGGGAGGTTTTGTGAGGGGGTCAGAGTCCTTTGGGAGGAGGCAACTAAAATGCTATTTAAGATTTTAACTAAGTTACTGTTTTAGTTACTGTTAAAGCAAGTGGAATAGCAGCTTGTAATGTGCTTGTGATCATATAAATGGAAATCTTCCCTGAGTTTGTCTTAAAAAGCGATTTCTGAAGCAGTTAAGAAATGTTTTATATGGTAAGGCTATATTGATATTATCACATGCCCTTTTATATTGTATCTTAATTTAAAGATACAATAGTTCTGTGCAATTGAGGGTTCAGTTCAGTTTAATGTTAATTCAGCATCTGACTGCCAGTGAGCTGTGTTAAATAATAAAGCTGGGGCTTGTGTTAGCTTTTCAGAACTGGCTTTTTAGCTTGGGGCATTTAACTGTAGTGCACTTCAAAAAGCACAGTTCCTGGGACGTAAGTGTGGTACAAGGGGTTTGGTTGGTTGTTTTTTTTTGGTGCTTCATTATTTTGTTGTTTCATGGGGGGGGGGGGGGGGGGGAGAGGTTGTTGGTGGTTTTTATGCAGGTTGTTTGGGGGATTTTTTGGTGATGGGGGTTTTTTGTTTGGTTGGTTTTTTCTTGCCCACAGCGTCTAGCTGACTTTTACTACATGGCTATGTGAAAGGGTTAAATTCCCATCCGTTTATCTGTGAAGTCTGTAGGATTTGAGATGCTCATTGACAGCCTGCTGCTCAACTTATGAAACTGGCTAAATGATGTCTGCCACTTCTCTATTTGTTGGAATAATAGTTTCTTAGAAAAAGCACAAATGAGACTGTACAAAAAATTGTACTCTTAGAGGATTGTGATTAGAGGAATATTCAAGAATTGCACAGCAATAAGCATTTTCTTTGTGTTTGGGCTTATTTTCTCTTCTTTTTTTCATGGGATGCTATTTTTGATCAATAAAAATCTCATTATTATTTCATTATAGGAATTTGAGAGGGAGAAGCATGCTCATAGCATATTGCAATTTCAGTTCATGGAAATCAAAGAGGCTTTGAAGCAAAGAGAAGAAATGCTTGCAGTAAGTAACCTTTTTGCTTTAATGGCTCTTTTGATTGGTATGTTCCCAGTTAGCCATAGGAATGTGGAACGTGAGGCACAGAGAATTTTATTCCCTACTCAAGTTTTTCACCTGAAGAAATATTAGTGTTTCAGTCTGAACAGGTTCAGAGCTGGCTAATGGAAACGGCACTTTCCTAAATATTAGCTGAAGTCGGACTTCTTTTCTTGCCTTGTCCTGAAATAAGCTGTGTTTTCCCAGCTGTTTGTGGAGATGCAGAGGAAACTGATGGAACAGTCTTAATTATTTCAAGTCAACTCGTGACTTGTAAGACTGTCTTCAGGAACATAGGTTTAGTTCAAATGTCGGAAACAGTACATACATAGATAGCCTTTAGCACCTGACTTGTTTCATTCTTTGGCATCACTGTGATCTTGAACTTCTTTGCTAACCTGTTATCTGCTTTCTGTCTTCTTGTTTTGCTCCTGTCTCTCAGGAAATCCAACAGCTGCAACAGAAACAGCAGAGCTATGTCAGGGAAATTTCTGATCTTCAGGAGACAATAGAGTGGAAAGACAAAAAAATAGGGGTAGGCCTGTCATCTCCTGCAATGTTCAGAGTGGTCCTTTTGTTCCGCCAGCTGACCCTGCTTTTGCAAAACCTCATGAATATAATCCTCCTTAGTGACTTTGCTTTGTGTGGCTGTCTTATTGTCTTACCAATGAACTAGCAAATAGGAAATTTTTTCTTTGGCAAGTATCATGAAATCCAATAAAAATTTAGCAGCTGGTCTGATTTCAAAACCTGGGGTCATTTATTTGCTGTGGTGCACCATTTGTATTTGCCATATTGAGAAAGGAGCTGCTATTTATAATGCAGTTCCATCAGCACTGAATTTTTCCTTATTCAGATTTAATCTGCAGACTGAGCAGAAACAGAGGTAGTAAAGAGCTATTTATGGGCTATTGGGATGTAAGTCTTTAAACCTCTCTTGCTTCTCATCCCTTCCCACAGCCCCCTGTCAAAGGCAAATGAAAATCCACTCTTAAAGAAAAGCTTGGATTTCTTTTCTAACAATGAGCCAAAAGACTTTTTGAATATAGAAGGAAAGAGAAATCTGGGAAGTTGCCTGTTGTGATACTTGCAATGTCCAACAACTTGTAGCAACTTGAAACTCAAAGCTGTGTAATTATTATTGCTGTTCTACTTGTACTTCAATAATATTGAAATATTGGGGGGGGGGGGTGTCAGTAGGAAAATACGCATTTGCATCTGGTACATCTGAGTCTAATGATGACTTAATGGCAGCTTTCAAATTAATTGAAATGTACTGCACCAGATGGAAGAACCGTGGAATAAAAAGCCTGGTAAAATCTGCTGCCCCTGCTTTCAAACTGTTCTGTTAACACATGGGAATGGCACTGTGTCTTCAATGGGCATGATGAAGTAATAGAGATATGAATTAACTTGTCTAGCAGATATGAGTGGATCCTTATTTGAAGGATCTCTAAGGAAGGATTAGGCTCAAAATGTCTTCAGTAGGAATTCCTGGTTATTGAATAAGCTGTGCCTTTCTTGGATTTGAAGCTCATCTGTGTGTATGTAAACTTGGTCCTTTAATGTGTAAACTTTACCTTTTTCATACGTGCCACTTCCATCAATCTCTGAATATCTTAAATCTGCTCATTCCTTGTTTACCCTTGCTTTTCATGGTCTTTACTTCTCTCCCCTCCTTTCTTTGCATCTCCTCGCCCTCTGTTTGTGTTGGGAACTCAGGCGTTAGAGAGGCAGAAAGATTTCTTTGATTCCATAAGGAGTGAGCGGGATGACCTTAGAGATGAAGTGGTTGTGCTGAAGGAGCAACTAAAGGTATGGAAGAGGAGTGAAAGCGATTTCTATTCAGCACCTGACCTTTCCCTCCTGTACATTTGTGCAGAAAATTTGAATCCAGCTCGGCAACAAGAACTCTATTTTTCATGTTGCCTATAATTTGCCATTTCAGGAATTTTCTGCAATAAACTCCATCCCCCTAATATAGACTGTGAACTCGTAGTATAGACTGTAGTATTAAGTAGTTGCTTTTGTAGAAGATGCTTCTTTGAGGAATATTTTCTGCAGCAAATGTACGGTTAAAGAAGCAAAGAGCTGGGATCACATGCTTCTTTCCTACTGGCCAAACTGAAAATTGTAATATTCCATGCTCTTTTCTGACTTCCAGCCATGTTTAGTGGAATCATTGAAGCAATTGTTTATTCAGAATACAAGGACAAGAACACTTGAACAGTCCCACCCTTTCTGAGCAGCAGACTCTAAAGCATTGCTTTTATTTCTCCACAGAAACATGGAATAATCCCAGATTCTGATGTAGCCACCAATGGGGAGACATCAGACATTCTTGATAACGAAGAACACTTAGATTCTTCCAAAACTGTTCCAGGCACAACTCTGGCATTGAAGACTGGAGGGGATGGGATGTTAGGTAAGCACTGTATCTTTTTTCATATCTTTCTGTCTGTCCATTCATTCATCTTTGCTTGGAGTTTGGGCATTTGTTAGTGGGACAATTAACACATCACGCAGCATGCTACATTTTAAATCACTTACCATGCATTTGTCCGCATGATTGTCATGATCGCTTCCAACTGTTTGTGCAGTTTCCTGCAAAGGCAGACTTAATTTCCCATTCAAGGTGATAAAGGATGAGAATACGAACATTACATTACAGATAAACAGCAATCATTCAGATTCCTATTTAAAGCCTGAATTTGAATAGCGCCCCAGAGCAATCTGACTACTGTTCAGTAGTTTTGAGCACATACATTAAAGAATCGGGAAAACAAAAAAAGAATTTGTTTCCTTTAAAAAACTTGTTGGTTCATTTATATACCTGAGAACTTGTGGCTGCTGAACAACCGTGCTGGGCACTATTAAAACACTAACGTATGAATTCTTTGTTCTTGGTGTCCTATACTATTGAGCAGTTAATATTAGCACTTCCACATTTTACTTGTTATGTTAAAGCTGTTAAATTCAAAGAGTATAACTGAGATGGATAGCATTAAGAAGAAATCTGGTTGGCAAAACCATTCTTATGCAGTGGTGATGAATGGCCATTCTGAGAACTCTTATACTAGTGTAAGGAAAGGAAATAGTAATTATTTGTTGTTGTTCTAAATGAACATACTAATAAATAGCAATAGGCAGTCAATGTTGCTTTGAGCTTTTGGCTGCTTTTACCTCAGTCAGTTTGTGTGTGCAAACAATATGGAACACGAAAACCAAGGTAAGGGTATATTTTTAAGTGTAATGTGTTCTCTCTCTCTCTTTATTCTGGGTTGGTTGGGTTTTGGCTTTTTTTTGTGACCCAAAAGCTAACTGCTGAAACCACAAACACTGTTGTTCTAATACCTGTTGCTTCCAAATTATAAGTTGAAGGAAAATTGTTTAAAACCCCTCCCCAAACCCACAGAAGTCCCTATGCATTTGGGCGGATCAAGTGGCTGTAAAGGGCAGTAAGTATACCTGAGCTTTGGTAATGCTAAATAGCTGAACCATTTGCTTGCCAATCAGATTTTGTGTTCAGTGTTTGTCATATACACTGATCATGATGCCCGTTCATGACGCTTAGAAACAAAATATTTCTGAATAACCCTTCATTACTTCATAACGGCATCAGACACACACTCCATGCATAAAGTGGTGTCAGGATTAAAGCTGTAAAGGTTATTGCTGAAGGAAAAGTAATTTTTCCTGTAGTGTTACCTCTGCAGGTATTATCACTCAATTGCACTGCTTGAAACAGTTGTTCTCGGCTACAAAAGCTGTAATTCACACAGCCAAGAGCATAAATCTTTGACTTTATAAACGCACAAGTCAGCACCAAAGGCTTCTTGCTTTGAGAGGGTGGTGGTGAATTTCACTGATCAAAAACCTGGACTCTGACTAATTCAGTCACTGCTTTGCCTCACGTAATTGGCAAAAGCTGATCTTTTATTAACCTATTCTTTGATTCATTCTCTTTTGGGTTTAAATGGGGAGGTAAGTGCTGTGGGGTGGTCCCTTCAACTTTCTTAATGGTCTTTTAGGCAAAGCCAGTGAAGTGGACATGAAAAATGAGATTTTGGAGGATATGGGGAAAAGAGAAATCTTGCAGAATACTGAGCATGAGGAACACAAAGAGGAGTCTGAGGAGCAGGAATTGCATGCTGGTGAAAATGCAAAGGCACAAAAAATGGTTGAAGAAAGTGATGCCCTGTCAACAGTGATGTTACCAGATAGCAGGTTTACAGTACAAATTCAAAGCCTTACAGAACACGTATCAGGGAGTACTTCTTCAAGTGATGATAATGGTGCAGATGATTTGAGAAAGGTGGCAGAGTCTGCAGGCACAGCAGTCCAGCAGCCTGTCAGTACAGAGGCTGAACACTGTGACTTGAATGCAGTGTCAAATCAGAACTTGGAGGTGGGCTCTCTCCAAAGTCATCAGATGTTTGACCCTCCTCAGGAAATGCATAGTGACTTAGGTACAGAGCATGAACTGGAAAAAGCTGCACCCCAACAGCAAGATCAAGAGGATCTTAAAAGTAGCCATGTCCTGAGTGATAATGAAATGGATCAAGAGGCCAAAATCGCAAGTGAGAGCTGTGAGTTGGCTTCTAACCAGGCAGGGCTCCCAGAGGTTACAGCAGCAGGCTTAATTAGTGAAGAGTTAAAAGTGGAGAGCCACACCGAGGCACTCCAGCACTCAGAAGAAAGTGCCGAAAACCAGGTTACAAGTGTCTTGGAGGAAAAGTTTGTTGAAGGCCAAGACAGTACCGATGGAAGAGCTGGAGAAACAGGTGATAGATCTGAACAAAAAAATGAGGTTGGGAACACGGTTCAGGGTCAGTCGACGGAAACAGAGCCTGTGGGTTTGGAGGGGATGGAGGCATGTGGAAGTGGTGTCCCAGCAGCTGAAGTTGAAAAGGACGGCGGAGGCCATCAGGCATTCATTCAGTCAGTTTCTCCAGAGGGCAGTCCTTCAGCATCATCAGAGAAACAAAATATGCAGTATGAATCTGAACTTGAAAATGCTATGGCTGAGAAGGATGGACAAAAGGAAGCGTTAACAGAAGAGCTGGAGATGTGTTCAGATTCTGCAGAAACAGGCAAGCAGGATAAGATCTCTGTGGAGGCTGTGGACTTTATTACTGAGGTAGAAGGAAGTGTTCTACAGCAGGCAGAGCCAGACAGAGAGATTGTGATGCAGGTGATGACTCGGGAAACCAGTTTTGACCCAAGTCTTTTAGATGACAGGATTAAGGAGTCAGAATTGGAAACAGGGGATGAGTCTGGGACAGAAAAGGAAAGTAGGACAGAATGGGTAGAAGATACAAAGCTGAAAGTAGGAGTTCAAACTGTTCAGTCTAGTGAAGAAGCAATAGGTGAGACAGTAGGAGAAAAAAATACTCCTTTTGAAGGTGAAGCACAGAATGTAGCTGAACAAGAGGAGGGTGAATCCAAAGAGGAGTCAACTGTAGATGTTAGTGTAGCTACTGGAAAAAAAGTTTACAAAGAAACTCTGGGAGAAAATGAGCAAGAGTTAGAGCTTGCAGACCACCATGGTGGTGGATGTACTTCTGAAGAAAGTGTAAATAATTCCCTGGCACAGAAAGCTGAGTCAGATGCAAATGTTAGTGAACACATTATACTGGAGGATCAAGCCAAGGGAAGACTGGAAGGTGGTGGTGATGTCTTTGATTTTGATGAAGAGTCAAAACAGATACTAGAAACTGATAAAAAATGTGATGAAGAGAAAGCTTATACACAGAAATATGAGGATGATGGAACAAAGGGTGCTGCTGGAAAAACGGCCCAAACAGATGAAGCTGGAGAAGGAAAAGGCAAAATAGAAACAGAAGACATCTTGACTAAAGCTGACAGCTTGCAACAAAAAAAAGCTGATGAGCCTGAAGAAACAGGGGAAGCATCATGGAGAACTGAGGAGAAGACTGATGTGATGGAAGATGAAATCAAAGCATCAGATTCTAAAAAAGTAGAAAAAATACCAGATGAAACTGTTATGGAACAGGATTTGGAAAGTGCTGGCAATAACAGGGAAGAAAGCAATGAGGATTTGCAGAGTGGTCGAAGGGGCAAGGGTAGATCTAGAGATGACTGTACAATATCCTAAGTTCAGAATCCCAAGACTACAAAAGCTACATGCCATTTGATCAGTCCCAGTACAGAGGCATGCGCTTTGCACAATACATCAGACCATAAGAATACTCTTAAATTGAGGGGTTTTTTTTTATAGGTAATTCTCATCATAATACAATCTTATGTAAGTGGTAATGATGCAAATATTAAGTTACTCACTGACATACTGGGCCACAACAAATTGTGTGTGGGTTCAGTATTGCTGTGTCTCAGGTTAAAAGTTTATCACTGAAAAAGCAAGCTTCACAGATCTTCACTATCTTGCCATTAAAACACTTTTAGTGTGGGTAACTGCTACTGAGTAATTTCTATAGGAAACTTTGTTTTTCTAGCCTAGATGATAGATGTTTTGAATGTACTTAATGTGCCCTTTGTGCACTTATGCGCATACTTATGTGTACTTGCATGCATGAGATCTACCCTAAGTACGTTACCACTTCACGAAGGAACTCAGTGGATCAGCAACACTGATGTGATTTTGAGCCTTCTTTCTGAATGATTGAAGCCTAGGAACCAATTTGGGGTTTTTTTCCCCCCATTGGAAAAAGACGATCCACTCATTCCATTTTTGTGTGTTTCTCATATGGTCATAGTCCCAAGTATAGTTAGGTCACTTTGAGCCTGTTCAGTCTAAACACTTCAGAAGGACAATATTCAGTTTGAAGAAAGCACAACGTATACACGTCTTAGTTTGCTAAAGGGAATAAATATTACATGTTTACTTCATCTGGGCACTTTGCACCACATAGGCCTTTACTCCATGACTCACATGGGGGTTTTTCTGTTTTTTTTCTGAAGAAAGTGTCAGTACGCTCTGTAATGTATGCTTAGATTTGCTATTAAGTACTGTGTAGTTATGAATATATAAAATACCTATTTTTTCTAAGAAGATTTTTGTTTAAAACTGTATTTCTTTACACTTTTTTTTTTTTCAAACTATGATTCTGAAAGAATCTGAAAAATTCTTTATCTCTGGAAAGTTCTTACCTCTTCCTTTCTGGAAAGAAGATAACTTTGCATGTCTTAATTCTCACTGGACATCAGACCAAAGACTATTGTTATTCTGTATAGTAGCCCCTGTGCCTTTTTGAAAAGCTGGATTGCTTTAAATTGCTGGCATAAATTAAACATTTTGACTCCATTGGTGTATTTCTTCTTGTATTTTTGCTAGTGCTTGGGAGGAAGAGCATGTCTTGCATACTTCAAAATCCAATTAAAGTTGTTCTAAGCAATGAACATCCCAAGGAAACGCAAATTGAGGAATTGGGGTGGGGGGGCTATGGAAGGTTGTATTTGTGATGTTGCAAAGTTGATGGAGTACAAACAGACTGCAAAATGTCAAGATGTATATCAAAGTGTACTGAGCTGTATATAATTGAAATAAACATTTTATACTCTAAATTGCCTGTCTAGAGCACTGTTTATAAACCTGCATCAATATTTATTTAAATCTGTATAATGTAAAAAACATTTTTTTTTTCTGCAGCTTTGTTTAAATTGTGTTGCGCTACATAGCCAGAAGACCTATTTTACTAGGAATGGGCAGCCTTGGTGTTCGAAGACTTTTAATATATGATAGCAGCCTTTACAGTTCTGTTACAGGTCACAGTTAACCTGTAACCCTTTTTTCATACGGCTTCTCTCCGACTTAGAACAGTTTCAGTATGGTTTCCCTAAGTACTAGCAGTTGTTCTTAAGGGTTTACCTTAAATGCTAATCTAAAAAGTCATAGATCGTAAAAGCATCTTTCATTACTGTGTGGTAGTGTTTATTTAAAGTTTTGTCTCTGCTGTACTTGAAACAATAATGCATGGTTTAATGTTGAAAGTATTTTAAATACATTTGTATTTAAATGCTAAATACAGTTAAATATATAATTAAACATCCTCACCAGGCTTCACCTATACTTGTGGATGGCTCCATAAGCAACTCTCAGTGAAATTAGGAACATGCCAGCATTTTCTGTATTTTTCATACAAGTTTGTTTCTAATAGAGATAGCTGTATAGTTGAGGAAATAGTGAACTAATTTGAACTAGTTTGTCCACTCCAGAAAACAAAGTATCTGTAAGAGAGGTCCTTTTTAAAGCCAAGTCACAGAAGGAGAAACAATTCTAGTTTTAACTGACCATTTACAAGCTTTTATCCCACAGTAAGTGTCCGACTCTCAGCGAAACTAGAGTAGGAGCAAGAACATCGGCATAGCTGATGTACTAGAAATCCATCCTTGAACGTTACCGCTTGGTACCTCTGTTGGTAGCTGGTCGCTGACTTCTGGAATTGGGCAAGTACCATGGAGGAAAAGGTCACTCGTTTCTTTTACCTCTTTCATTTTTGCTTGAGTATATATGCACATCAGGTGAGAGGCAGAGATCTCCCAGATAAATCAGCTTGAAGATAAAGGGAACTGCTAGATGTTCTATTCAAAATTTAGTAATTTAAATATTATATGCCAGCTAGCATTGAGTGAAATGTGTGCCATTAAAAAGGGAGAGGAGACGGTGTCTCAGGAGAAATTACCTAGAAAATACATCTTTTGTAAAGTTACACAGCTGAGAACAGTTTTTAGCATTTTCCCCTCTCATATCTACTGGAAACATGAAAAGATGCATTTTGTCCCTTTATTGGTTTTGACTTTTAAGGACAGCGAAATAGCAAATCATTCTTTTCATAGTCTAACATGAAAACAAGAAATCATGAGAGGACCTAAAACCAAGATTCATATTTTCTGCTATTACGTTACCCATTTTGCTTTGGGCAGGGACAATCTGATGAGCACCACCCGCAGGGTGTAAGACTTGTCTCAAAATAGCTCCATAGCTCCAAATGCTCACTGAGTTTTCTGTTCCAAACTTAGTGATTGGCACGTGTGGCCTCTAATCCTGATTTGTGCATTACTGTGTATTTGGAGCTAGCCTGAAATGCTTTCAAAAGCAGTAGCTGAAGAAACTTGTTTGCCTTATTCAGTAAGTAATAGTGAAAAACTTTGGTCGGTGTTTTCTTATTACAGAAAGGAGCAGACCTCCTGTCCCTCTCAAAATCAGTATTGCAAGCTTGTTTCTTAATCTTATGCTCATTCACTGACCCAACAGCCTGTCCTCGGCAGTGTCTCTCTTTTGGAAAGAGGGGAAAGCATTTCTCAGAGTTTGTTATTGTTGTTTCCTGGTGATCCAGAATAAATCAGCAGATCTTGAAAAGGAGTATTATCCAACCTGCTATTGATCTCCTAGTTTGATTCTTGGAGGCTGTAATGAGTAGTTGCTTGGGGCTGCTGGTACGATTTCGTGGGATGTTTTCCCATCCTCCAACTACAGTTTACCCCTTGCAATTGCATTGGGATTAGTTACTTTCTGGGCCATACATCATGCAAATAATTTGTGTTAAAATCAGATACTTTCCACCCTGGGCTCCTCTCCAGGTAGGAAGATGCATCAGGGATCCGTGGCTGATTAAGGGGTGTTAGGTCAACTGTGCCACTGGAACAGCACCCTAGTTAGTAATACCTTCAGTCAATTATAGTATCAAAGGAATAAGAATAGTAATTTGACTTGCAAACAGGCCTGTACAATAGCAGAAGACACTGGTAACCACCCCCACACACACCCTGTGTCCTGCTGTCTCCCAGGCCTTCCCAGGGCCCAGCTCCTTCCATCCACCTTCTGTTAAGCTCTTTGGTGTATGAAAGCCATGTATTGGTGCAGTGACTAGCCAGGGAATCATGTTACCAAAGTTAAATCTAAGTGAGATGAGTGTCACAGTGCCATTGTTCATCTTTGCATGTGAAATAGGGATGGTGGCAGTTACAGATGGACCATTTTAATTAGCTGCTTTGCGTCCTAATTCAGTAGATTGCTCTTTTCTGCTCACCTGTCCTCAAGGTCCTCAGATCCGATCCTTGATGTTGGAAAAATGTCTCCTAACTGCAAAATTAACGTGACTGCAGAGATACCTGTTAAAGCTAAAGTGAGTTTTTTGTGTTAGTGTGAGGTTTTAAGAGAATGAGACCCAAGAGACTTTTGCCCATGCATGCAGAAAAATTTTCCGCATGAATGGCAATTTTAGCAAACTGAATTTTTTTTCTGTGGTCTTGTAAATTCTCATGCCAGTGTGTTATCTGCCCCAGTGGGCAGATGTCAATAATGGGTGAAGAGAGAACTGATGGTGGGACAGGTTTGAAGGTCCATCCCAAAACACAGGGAGAGGAGCTGGAAGACTCTGACGCGCTTCTTTACTGGAAACTAGAGGAGGTGTCTTTTTTTCAGGCGGGCATTCTTCACCCCACAGCAGCACTTGTGTTAATGAAAGTCACTTAGCTGAGTACATGATTAAGTTATTTTCAGGATCAAGATGGATTATTTGGACCCTTTGGAGTAAATAAATCTGGGCTAATTTTGTAGGGCCTAAGAGTTTTCTTCTGCATCAGTTCTCATTCTCTTTCCAATCCGTAGAACTTCATTTCTCAGTCTCTGCCAACCTATGACTTCAAGCCCTATCTCAAAGTCTGAATATTGCTGACCTTTCTTTTACTTATCCTGTCCTTGCTTTCTTCGTTGACCATTATTTTTCTTCCCTATATTTCATCTTTCACAGAATTTCTCTTAAGATTCCTTTCCTTCTCATATAGATAAGTGGAATTGTGTGGTTATTTTGAAGGGATTTATATTTGTGAATTTCTGTTACTCATGGCAGGTTACAAAAATCTGGTTTCTTTGTTCATTTCTTTCATATCAATGCTCAGGTGTAACAATGGTGGGTGTGTTACAAATGGCTGGGAGGATAGGACTTGAGGAGGTTCAAAATGAATGCATAGAACTGCTGAACTGGAATGTCGCTTTAAGATCTATATTTGTGTATTGCATCAGAAGTCAAGGTAAAGGTTTTATTCCCTGCTTTAGAAAGACTGATGGTATATGGGAACTTGTACCTAGGAGGGGAATGACATGACATACCACGTTACTACTAGCTAATGTCTGCCATGTAGAGGGGCTCATATGAAAGCCAAGTTTCCCCATGATTTGATTCAGTACAGACTTTATTTCCTTTACTGCATGTGTTAACAAGAAAAAAAGGGGAACCACAAGACTCTGGCACGTTCATGATTTGTCAGCAAACGAGAACTGGTATTTTTAAGGCTTTTCAGAAATACTTAAGTCTATCAACAGAATTCCCCTGGTAGAAGCCCACCAGAGTTTTCTCTGTAATTTGTGAATTGCTTTCCTTAAGTTTACAGAAAGACCTTTTTCTCAACTAACCATTTAATTATCAGGCACAACCTTAGATGTGGAGCTGAGTTCTGAACACCCTTGGTTCTGAACAGGTGACAACTTGCTGGCAAGGGAGGCAAGCTAAATAAACCTGCAGAAAACATTCATGTCAAACTTGTGGAGTAAGACCCGTCTGAGGTCAATATATCCTGTATGTTGTACACATAAGTATAGTTGAATGCTATATTCCAGTCTACTTCTGTTGATGTGTATCTGAACAAACTAAGGTTGCTAATAAGGTAAAGTAACTTTATTGATAAGGAAATTTGTGAGTACCTGCTAAAATGCTTTCACATTCTGCACCCCTTAATAGGGAACGGAAAACCCAAGTGACTTGGTTACTTTCTAGTTCTTTTTGCCAGCTGTCTCGTTCTGTAGTGTGCACTTTATTAATGAATGCCCCACACATCCATGTGTTGATCTGAGCACTTCTAAGTTCAAGTGTAGCACAACAGCTGGTCCAGATTGTCCATTGCCTACTTGATGTTTGACCAGGAGAATTGGCTATGAAGGTTTAAAGAGAAAAGAAAGCTTTACCAGACTGCTGTTAGAAACAAAAATAATTGAATGGGCAAAGGTTTGTTCTGGTCATAATATTGGACATAATACAAAATGCCATTGCCATGCTGTTTAGTAAAAGAAGTGACGATGTAAAGTGCTGAGAATGTGCTTAGCTACAATTGTAGGTGTCTACAGTATTTTCAGTATGCTAAACTGTAAAGATTTGAGATATTTTGTGTTGCAGTTGTGTTTGACCCTAGAGTTCTTGCATGCTAACCTAACGTAGAAGATTAGCCTCTTTGCATGCAGCTGGGTGCTGCTACTGCCGTGACAAGCATGTTCTGTGAGAATGACATAACCTCCCTTGGCTGCAGCCC